AAGGTCCTTTACTATATTAAAAGTAGTATTAACTACTTTAACTAGCTAGCTAGTCCGAGCTTTATCTACGAAGAACTTATTATAGTATAAGCTACCGTTAAACCTACGCTTTTTAGCTAACTTTATAATATTACGAATCTACCTCTCCGAGATATAAGTCTAGCGAGCTACCTCTTTATTAGTTAGGCTAGTAGTTTTAAAAGCCGCTATAGCCGCTTTTATAGTAACTAGATATATATTAGTCCGGCTATTTTATCGATTCTAAAAATCTTTAGTATACGTTTAGACTACTTTATAGGTACTACTATTAGCTAGCTCTCTATATCGCTAAAGTACTCGATTAGTAATCTAAAAAGCTAGCTTTCGTACTATAAGTATAGTAGTAGTTACTATAGGAGTAGAGTAACTTATAGTCGACGGCAGTATCTATTTAAAGATAGTATAGCTTTAGTAATAGCTATAATTAACACCTTTACAGTAGAATAAAGTTAAAGGATCACAAAGTCTATTACTAATATAGCTAGTCTATCCGTTACGGCCGGCAAGGGGGTGGCAAGGACTTTTGGTACCACCCTCCGTAAGAGCGGTTTCTGGGGAAAGCTGGAGAAGATGAGGACGAAACAAGGACGAGAAGACTCTGGGCTCGGCCGATTATATTTCACGACCAGGGCAACGACTCCGGCAGCATGTGACAGTGAGCCAGGAGTTGCTTGGTGCTTTGGATCTCATCGAGCACCCCGGGCTCGTGGCGGCGGCTGACCTCTGGAAACACACTCGTGACCTGTTTGCCTTTGCCGCGGCTTTGCGGGGTGTCTTCACATGCGTGCAAAGGGGCCAATCACAGCCTTCTGTTATTCAGCCTGTCCTATTCCCGGGGCTCTCAAAACTTCTTTGTTCAAGACATCTTTCCAGCAGTAATTTTCTTTGGCAGTACTTCTCACCTTCTGTTGCGGTACTCTCCATATGCACTCAACGCATTCGGGACATCTTCCCTTCTGTGCGCTTTTCGGGCAACAAGAGATACAGTCGCGGCAGAGCAAACACCGAATCTCGGCATCTGCGCCGACCTTGAACCTTGACGCAAGCATGGGGACATATCCACTTTCTCGGAGGAGATGTCCCGACTCTCACATGCTGCTCTCCAAACGGGCTTCCTTCTGCAAAATTGTCCGTATCACATCTCAACCCTTTCTCTCGCAGTCTTGTCCATCAATGCTCTCACAAGGAACTATGCGTTGACAGTATGGAACTTCATGGCTCAAAACTTCTGAAAGCCCTCGAGCAATTGGGAGCTCCTCGTGTGCGTGGCCTTCTTGAGCCTCCAATCGACCCCAGAGTCTAGCCTCCACGCGACGCCACGGAGAACCAAGATGTCCGTCGCCACTGGAAACCTAGAATCGACCTCGTGCTTGTGAAGACTTGCGGTCAGAACATTGGCTTCGTATGTATTGGGCGGATGCATTGCCCGTTGTGGCAGCTTGCGATGATGCTCCAATGCAAGAGTGCGAGGTCAAAAATCACTGTTGTGAGCAGGTCACACAGTCTGAAGAGGCATTCAGTCTACTGTATATCTCGAGTTTGTATTGAGAGCCATGGCGGAGAGGTATATGTTTGATGGAGCTGCTTAAGGACAAGGACGCTTGCCATCTCCTCTTCGTCTCGGGTGAGAGAGCCGCTGTAGAAAGACTGTGTCCTCGATCAAGGCAAGTAATACTGAACTGAAGTCCACAGTATTGTAGCTGAACATGCTCTGAACACGTCTCCGGAGGGGCGAAGGGGTGGGATGAAATGTATCGCAGTCGTTGTCCGTTTCGCGGCAGCGGCTTCTTGCGGAGGGCCTTTCAGCAAGTGAGCACGCGCAGTCGCTGTGGAGACGTCACCGCTTCTCTCAAGTTTCTGCAACAACAATCCATCATTCAAGACGGATAAACAGAACGAATTTCATCAATCAACTGAATAACACAACCATGGACAAATTGAAGAAGCTCTTCGGCGGCGACAAGAGCAAGACCACCGGCGATTCCACCTCCTCAGCCAAACCACCAGCTGGTTCAGCAGGCGTCGCTTCAGGCGATGTAGTCCAGAACCCCAACCATGTCGTCTTGCACACGACATTGGGAGATATCACTATCCAGCTGTTCACGCAACAGACTCCACGAGTGAGCAAAAACGACGACGTCCTCAAAGCCTAGAGAGCTCTAATGACATGATACTAGACCTGCGCCAACTTCGCCACTCTCGCCAAGACAGGCAAATGTATGTTTACCATCACATCACAACTCCCTCCATCTCCCAAGACACGAACTAACCCGCCCTCCAGACGACAACGTCATCTTCCACCGGATTATCCCCTCCTTCATGATCCAAGGCGGCGACCCCACAGGAACCGGCCGCGGCGGGCGTTCCATCTACGGCGAAAAGTTCGAAGACGAATTCGTGCCCTCCCTCAAACATGAAGGCAAAGGCATCCTCTCCATGGCGAACTCAGGGCCAGGAACGAACGGCTCACAGTTCTTCATTACTCTTGCTCCGACTCCGCATTTGAATGGCAAGCATACCGTGTTTGGGAAGGTGACAGAGGGCATGGATGTGGTTGATAAGTTGGGGAGTGTGCAGACGGATAAGGGGGATCGGCCGAAGAGTGAGGTGAAGATTGTTAGTTGTGATGTGGATTAGGGGCATGAGGAGGATGGGAAAGGGTGCGAGAGGAGCGATATGAATGGTATGGGGCTTTGTTGATGCTAACCGAGTATTTATAATATCCAGAATGACTATGGCGGTCGTGACTTTGACACTCTCCCGGCTGAAACCTCAACCCAACGCCAGTGCTGATATCTCCAAGAACACTTCCATCCGCTCACGGCTTCAGCACCGGTCGACTATCCGCCATAGCAACGTCTCTCTCCGTCGGCGCCTCCGCCACGATATTGTTAAATGGCGAGTCCACGGGCGCCGCAGGAGGTTGACTCGAGCCATAGCTATACGCCTTACTCGTTCCATCTGCATAAAGACTCTGCTGTCCAACCGGAGGAGAAAACACAGTATTCTCGTGATGCTCCTTAGGCATATCCCGATAAGCACCTTTTGATTCAACGCCATGCAACAGCTCTTTCTTCGCTTTCCGCAGCTGTACATAGAGCACCACGCACCCGGCCAGCGCAGCAAGCAGCAGCACGCCCAAGGAGACGCCCACCCCGACCCCAACAGCTGTGACATTACTGTCACTCTTCGCCGTCACGGTCACCACGCTGCCACTCGTCGAGTTCGTGGTCGGGTTATCGGACAGTGTGGCACCGGTGCGGCGATCGACTATAACACTCCCCACGGGAAGCGTGAAAGGCTCCCGGTTCCCGTCGCTGTCAGAGGCGACCTGACACTGGCGGCCCGAGCTGTTATAGCTGCCAGCGCAACAGAAGAGGCCATTTCCTTTGGGTTTCGGGAACACGTTGGCAGGGAAGAGGGTGATATTGGTATTAGGCTGGACTGTTGTGGTCTCGTCAGCTCTGGAAGGGACCTCTATTGGCGCAAGGCTTGAAGTCTAGTTCCACGTACTCTGGATGCATTGCGATGGACATGCGGGATTGCTGTATGTGTAGTCGGTGCAGGCGCCGCGAGTGATGCGGTTGGCGAATTCGGTTTGTGAGAGACAAAGGCCGTTGCTTAGACACGCAGATGAGATATGGCAGCAGGCGCTTTGAGTCGCTTCGGCGTTGCATTGTGTGTAGTCCTCGGCTCGCGAGTGATCAGGGTAGAAACAGTCTCTGCCCTGGGCCAAAGTGAGAAGGGTGAGCCATAGAGCGCCAATCAGCGTATGTTGTGTCATGTTAAAGTGGTATGTATTTGAGCAGAGTGAGGTGTACAACGTTCACGTTGTAGAAAGAAGAGGGGAAGAGGCTCTGTCTACTTGCTGGCTCCAGGGACTAATGGAGAGGCTGAGGCTGTGTACTGTAACTGCAGGTATTGGCACCTGCACCTGCGTCGATGCGCTTAACGGTCTTGGGCAAGGTCCTATGATAGGAAAGCCTTCTAATTATCCATCGACAAATCTCGTTGATGCAGTGTACGTGAGCGACCGTCGTATTTCCCAAGCAGTCGCCTATCTGTTCAAGCCTTCGTGGACCGTCTGCAATCAAGCGGATATTGTGGTCGCGTCTTGGTCGATAGAAGTACAGAGAGACGTGCTGTGCGAGTGCGGCTGAAACTCGAGACTATTGGCAGGAGCACATCTCGGCTGTTCTTGGCAGAAGCAGCCAGCCTAATGGGGAGGCGCCGGTGTTTTATTCAGCTGAAGTCGCTTGGAATAGTTTTGATCGGTGATCCTCAGGCACACCTGCTCTTGTCTTGTCTCGCCAAGAAGGCACAGTACGTCGATTGTCGAGCGCCTGTTCTCTTGTAGGTCCTGGTCGATCGGCCATTCGGTGTCAGTCGAAGGAGATGAAATTCGATTGTCTGCTTGAAGGGGACACACAGGTGTTGACTGATATCTGAGAAGAAATGGAGCAGGAGAGTGAGCTGCAGAAGCCAGCGGACTGAAAGAATTCAGCCCACCTGAGTATATTTCAGCACGGGAAACAACGTCACCTTCCCTCGCAACCACTAAACCACGGCGGTATTCATCAACCTCGCCGTCCACAACGCGATTCTACGCGTCTTCTCATCAATACCATCAGCTGAACCCTCTCCACAACCGCCATGGCCGAGAATGTCCCCCCAAACTCCGCGCAACCCGCCTCTGCAACCGCAGACCAACCCGGCCGACCATACTACGAATCACTCCGCGGCACACTTCGCCAAACCCTCGAAAAGAAGCGACGACTAGACGAGCAGCTCGCCGCGCTGGAGGAGCAAATTTACAAGACGGAGGGCATGTACCTGGAAGAGACGTCCAACTCAGGCAACATCGTGCGTGGCTTCGATGGTTGGGTCAAGAATGTGCAGGTTAGCGGGAGGGTCGCGGATGATAGACGGAGGGGACGAGTGAGAGATGAGGACCGGGTGTTCTCGAGGAGTAGTGTGAGCTGGATGAGGGTGAGTTTGGAATGAGTGAGAGCTGGGAGAGGAGGTACTGATGAGTTGAACGCAGGCACAAGAAGGACCTGATTCAAATACGCCGTCGCACGCACCCACGCCTACTGCGTCTTTCGCTCCACAGCCGTCGGCGCAGGCTTCGAGCGCGGGTACACCTGCTGGCAACAACTCCAAAGCGTCGAACAACAAGAAGAAGCGGCCAACGGATAAGGAGGATGAGGACGATGCCAAGGCCAAGCGGTCGAAGATATCATACTCGAGGGATTAGGGATCTCCTCGCGGGAGATATGGTTAATTTGGTTGTATTGGAGCGTTCATAGCGAGGAGTTCGGGAGACTTGGGAGGATGGGAGATACCATACTTGAGGTTAAAGACTATCGGCTTGCACAAGCTTTCGACATCCACTCGAGACATATTGCGTACGAACGATTCACACACACTCCTCTTCGATCTCCATCGGTGTCACATCGACACATCGGGACTTCGAACTCGCAAAAAGCCTCAGCTGTTAGAGCACATGCCATCTCGACTCGTCGAAAGACGGCGGATGGTGACTTCAATTCCCAGCTTAAACACACGCACGTACTGGTCACAGACAGTTGGTATCTGGTTGGTTCATTGCTTTACAAGCACCCGTTCTATACAGAAGTGCATTGGAAGCGAAAGCAGATCATGAATCAGCACAACAGTAGCGAATCGATGATTGCATCAGAGTCGACTGCCTCGCCGTCCATGTAGCCGTGCACATAGGCTTCGCCTAACATAAGATAACGATCAATATCGGTTCGCTTCCTTACCACGCAAGGCACTTGGGCTCCCGTCACGATCACTATCACATCACCGACTTGTATCTCTTGAGGACCGCAGCCCAGCTTGCCTGTGGATGTTGAAAAGGTACGCCGGCCATGGCCGACTACTTGCATCGCTTCTGCGAACGAAGCCATTCCAGCGTTAACCAAGGTAGAGGATGTGACATTGCTTAAACACTTGCCCCCTACCGCGCGATCAAGCTCAACTATGGTCTCCGCAGATATTCTGGGCTTCGTGTCTTCTTTACGAAGCTGTTGACCTGCTAAAGCTGTTGACCAAATCGCGTGCGTCGTTTTATCATGATCGCAGGTATATGGCGACGCAAACATAGCAAGCACTTGGAGACTATGTAGCCATTTACCATGGCCTTCTGTCTCCCATGGGCTACCCACTGCAGTAACAGTGCACACTTCGATAGTCTGCAACTGCAGGGCAGTATTCCAGATGCCTGTTTTATCCAAGTGCAACGTCGGTTGACCCAGATGCTTGGAGGCGTGGAAGTCGGGCTGTAGCCAGCTGCTTTTATGTACCTTCGTTATCCTCTCCTGCAAGGGGTAGCGGGTCTGTACTCGTGACCAGTCAGGAACCCAGCTTTGCATATTTTGTGGCCCAATGTGGGGATATATGCAATATGAGAAAATGTCGAAAAATCCATGCTCTACCAACGCCCTTGCAGCTTCAGTGTACACTTGTGCGCACGTCTTGGTATAGTCTGGCACAATACCGAGCTCACCGGCATCTCCAGCGATCCCGAGCAATGCAAAGATCCTATCCCGTGGATCTGAAGATTTGAAATGAGTGAATCTGCTTAGTAGAAGCATGAGATCTGACTTCCCGTCATGGTATGTTTTAAACAAGCTCATGGCACAACGAGTATCGATTGGAATTGCCGTTTTGTGGTCGATCAAGTGATGCTGCTGCGATACTTCTGTTGCCGTAGTTGTCAATTGCCAGTACTTGAAGTTCCGCAGAACTCGTAAAGCATAGTGAAGGCACATGAAATCGAACGATCTAGAGCCGCAAATGAACTCGTGCGATGTAGCAACTGTGAATTCTTGCACGACCCAGATTCGCCTCCAGTATGCGACTGACAGAAATCCTTGGAGAGCTGCCATCAGCCGCTCATAGTGAGGGTTTCTGCTAGCGTCGAGGCTGGTTGTGAGGCTCTCCACAAAGTCCGATATATCTCGTTGATCAAGCTCCTCCACTGCTCCTGATGGATGATCATCCGTTGGCGATAGCAGCTTTCGCAAAACTCGAGCAGGGGTCCTTCCGATGCCCAATCTGTGAGCACGATCCCCGAAATGGTCGATCCAGTCGATAGCGAGCCCGATATCCTGAATGGTCTCTTGCACGCCAAGCCATACGACGACTCTCGAAGCAGTTGCGTAAATATCACGCATATGTGACACTTGCTGTGCCTTCTCAACTTCATTTCCTTGGTCGATGCACAGATAATCGACCCATAAGGCCAGGGATGAGTCGACACTGTTCTTCAAATGCCGCAATGCGCTCTCGAGACTTGCTGTCACCTCGACCCTCTTCTCGTCCAGGAGGACTTCCTTCGTCACACTTGGATCCCCCCACGCATAAGATAAGGCTACATATGGAGGTGCTTCCTTAATTGCCACTAAGATGGTCGAGCACTTTACCAGTGACATATTGGGGATACCCTCCATGTCAGAAGGCTGCGGGCAGGTGACTGATTCTTCACTCTGCGTATTATCGTTGAAACGAAGCAGACAGATCTGGTGCTTTCCAGGTTGGGCCCTTGTGGCCTCCATTGTTGTATCAAATCGCATTTTATGGTCGAGAGTATGTTCAAGGAATGTGGTTCGTCATCTACTTTAGTATCGATCGATGAGAATAAGGTTCAGGCACAGCTCGTGTTGGTGCGCAGCCACCACCACCATCTGCATGATATATGTATGCACAGCCTACACAATTTCTGCTTGCACATGGTACAGTGAAGGTACAAATAGCTTGCAGGGCGACCTCAAACGTTGTGATCATTTCACACGTGGCGCACACTTCCACTTGCTAAGGGGATTGGGCAATTTGTTGAGCCTCACATCGTGTTCCAAGTCAGAGGAGGGCCACGCGATCATGAATCCAGTGTCCTACGAGCTATTTCATCAATGCCACGCCAGTCGCCTGATTGTAGAGATGATGCAGCGCCTCGGGCGAATTGCCTGTCCTCGCCCGCCAATATGGCTATGCTGTTATGCCAAATCAGCATATGTAGGGTCACAAGCGAACGGCAAGCGCTCCCAGCGCAAGGCAGCAACTTCCATGCGACGTTGCCGGCCATAGGCTGCCGTTGTCGCTTTGAGCTCAGCTTCGCCTTGTTCGCCAGTATTTAGGTTTCTTCGTTCCAGCTGCCGCCCGACATGCTCTTCATGTTCTAGCCAGAGAGTTGATGGGACATGATCTGAGCGATTATCTCCCCTAGAAATTGGCGGCGGAGGCTTCAGAGCAGCTTGCAGGCGACCGCATCAAGATTACACCATCAGGCTGACTCTTCGCGCAGACGCCATCAGCCCCTAACTAGCAACATCTTATCCTCCACAGCTCTCATCATCTTTATCTTCCAGGGCACCAGGTGGCCGAAGCGATCGAGGTGGTGGCTGGAGCGGTAGATTTAGCTCGTTCGCTCTCTAGTCTTCCATTACATTTTGCAAAATAGTCAAGAGTTTTGAGCGCCATAACTCCCGTAGTGCTGGTATGGCTTATGAGTTGAATATGACACTCCAACCGCTCGATGAGAACGCGCCCTGGCCGATCCCAATCGCTGGCCTGGGTCTACTCCATCAGCTGGGGCTGCATCTAATTGCAAATCGAGCAACCTAGGACAAGACCTTCCTGACTGAGCGTGCCCTTCTTCTATCAATAGAATAGACAGCCGGACTCCAACCACACTCCCTCAAGCACGCCCATTCACAGCCCCCTTCTCCCCCCTTTCCCTGCCTCTCCACTCCCCACCAACAACCCCATCAAAAAGATATCCCAATACCTCCCCTCAAAAAACTTCGCCTCCCTTCGACACCCCTCCACAGAAAACCCCGCCTTCTTATAAACATGAATCGCCCGCTCATTCCCCTCCGCCACAAACAACTCCAACCGATGCATATTCGCGCACTCGAATTGCCACCACACCGCCCAGTTGAACGCCTCGGTGCCGTAGCCTTTGCATTGGAATCCCGGCAAGAGGATCAGGCCGAAGAGGCTGCAGTGGTGGGATTCCAGGCCGGGGAGCGGGCCGACCATGTTGACGATGCCGATGGGGGTGTCTTCTGCACTGTTGGGGTTGCTGGGGTCTTTGGGCAGGGAGACTATGGCTGCGAGCATGGAGCCCGTCATCATCTTTTTGAGCCAGTCGGAGATGTAGGTTTTGGTTGGCGGCCGGTCCATGACGGGGTTGAAGTTTCGCCAGTCTTCGTGGTTTGTCGTGAGGGACCAGAGGAAGGCTTCGTCGCTGGACTCGACGGCGCGGTAGGTTAGGCGGGGGGAGGAGCGGGCGGTGTACATTTTTGGTTGTTAACGATGGGGATTGGGCTGGAAAGGAATGAAGTGAACGGCTTCCAAAATCTCAACTATATGCTGGAACTGCAAAGGATCATATACAAAGACACCGAACGCCATACGATAAAGATCTCGAGCTATGTCGAGCTGGCTGCATGGTATCATCGTACGTGCCACGATATGCTCGGCCGAGATCCTTCAAGGCAATGAATGCGATCCAATCGGTCAACATGCGACTGCCATTCAATGCTGCCACGGTATCTTCTCACTCGCGTATCTTCTTGGAGGACGAAATAGATCTCACATGGTCGAAACTCTCATGTGCTGGAAACGCTTAGGGATGCGGTTATCGGACAGCCCATTAGTGCAGCAGTGCATTGGATATGTATGCTTGTCTGCACCAACTGGAAAGGTTGTTGGCGTCTTGGTCGCCATTCGCTCTTCACTTGTCGTTGTCTGATCACTGTGAGTGTCCAAAGACCTCTCATGTACTGGCATCAGCCATGCCGTAGTGTTAAAAAGAATGACAAAAGCAGAGAATAACCATGTCTTGGTCGGGCGGTCGATACCATGAGACCATCCCCAGAACAACTGAGGTGACGATCAAGAGCGGCGGCCAGCCTACGAGAAGTATGAAGCCTGAAGTCATGTAAAGTCGACGGCAAGTCGAAGGCACCTTCACCCGTATCTCGTCAATCGTGGCAATCGAAAGAACGCCCCCTAGACAGCATACCCAAGACATGCCAACGCCGTCAACCCCACAAACAGTCCCGTCATGAAGAGCCTCAGAAGCACGCGAAACCACAAGCAACTATAAATTTGATCTTCAAGATCCGTCGGCCCCATCTTGGCCGCAGGACAACTGAAGTAATAGTTCCCCGGGTTCGTGCCGGCTGCTATGGAAAGCTCTGGAGCCGCGACACGAGTGTGGCCTAGAGAGGAAGACGATACGTGCGAGCCTTCGAAGAGGAGTGCACAGAGTCGCTGGCGGCTGGAAAAGCTATCGCCGCTACTCGCGATTGTTGTAGTCATTGATGCTGCTTCGTCGTCTAATTGTGGACGCTCTGCGTCGTCCTGCTGGTCGTGGAGGAACTTGTTCTTCGTTATCTTGCGCCGGAAGTATCCATCTAGGTCGACCTTCAGTGATGCCTTGCTGGCGAGTATGAAGACTTACCCAGTACAGCTCGAACAGTGTGCAAAGGGGCAGGATCAGCATGAACATGGGGACAGCTTGCCCAAATTCCCATGTATCCTCGTTCCCCTGTCTCCCGTTCTTAGAAGCCGTATACCTGAGGGAGTAGACTTCGATAACGTTGGCCAGCAGCATAGCCCAGTTGCGGATGAGCTCCAGCGCCTCTGAGCCAAGGATCTCGCTGATAACGAAGATGCAGAATGCGAGCCCGCGGAGTGCGGCGCGTAGAATGATGCGAGCAATGGATGCATTGGCGGACTGTTCCATGCGGATGTAGTAACGTCGTGGTAAAAGTAGGCAGCCGACGATCCAGGTCTCTACCCCTCTGAACAGACGATTGTCGGTGATGACGGGGAAGTATTGGCCCAGGACGTCTATGATGCCCCAAAGCGAGAGTATCATGTACACGACTGTGTCTGGGGCTAGGCGCACCGCATGATTTCCCGAGCTCTTGTTCCACAGACAAGCCATCTCCGATCCAAAGGAACGCAGAAAGTATTTGCTGTTGCATGAAATTAGGGTGAGTGTAGACAGCACCGCGAGGGTGACAAAGGCAGATGCCCGCCACCAGATCATCTCTGGTCTCTGCCCCAAGAACTCGCCGAGAATGTCGCTGGCAATAAACTGCACGACCAGAGCCATGTTCGCCAAGCACGATGCCACAGCAAAGTGATACTGGGTGATCGACTCGAACCTACAGAACGCCACAGTCAGGATGGCCAGTCCATTGATCAACTGCTGGTCGCTGAAGAGAAGGATGACTTCTCGGAAGACTTCTCGAGTGATGAGCGGCTTGTGGTCGTGGAATAAGTTCTCGATCAAGGTATTTACCGGTCCTGCAGGAACAATGTCCAGTGTAGTGAGTTGATCCGGGACGTAGCTTCCTTTGATGAAGTAGAAGCCGTACACGGCGAGAAGAAACGAGAGCGTGACGGAAACGAAGAAGGACAGCAACACACCGATTCCTGCCTGTGATGCTTGTTAACTAATAACGACCACCGGGCTTCGTTTATGCAGCACTTACAATGTCTGGATCAGCTGGAAATGTACAGATCTCCGACATCTCAACCGACAGGCACCCTATCTCTCTGCAGGACGGTGGATCTCCCATCTTGTCCGTATCTCAGGAAAGCTTTCTTTGAGGCTGAGTATGCGCTTCCAACACGACCGACGAGAGACCACGACGGCAGGAGGAAGTCATTGTGATAAAGCCTCGCCGTGGGCCAGCGATGTGTGACGGATCTTCTTGATTCAGGCCAGAAGGGGATGTGACAGCGGGAGCCTGTTGAACCGCCGATCGAAGTTGAATACCATTGTTTTCATTGCAATCCAGATCTCAAGAGCCACAGGAATCGTACAGTCGGGTGTCTGCAGTCACGCTGTGCCTGGTACGACACACCAAGACGCACATCCAGTGTAAATCCTCGATGCCTCAGACTGTCAAAGCCTATAGTGGCTCCCTGCATGTCCTGTAGTTAAGCACCCATCATCGCCCTTGAGCATATCAGTCTGTAACCTCACACAGAGACCTGTGCCTTATGTTCGACCGACTTTCAAGATTCCTCCCGGCGCCTGTACAGCATGTTAAACTGGCATCCTTTCCCTCTTGACAGTGACCGCCAAGGGCCATCACTAATATATCCTGAGGCATCTAGACCAGTATCCGCTCCGAGATCTTGAGTAGCGGTCAGAACCTCTTGTGATTTCGGGATGTCCCTTGGTGACAAGGATGGAGGGGTGTACTTCCACTTGCACCGCCATTCAAGCCTGCACCTATGCATTCAATCAGCCAAGTCGGCATGAGCTCAGAAATAACGTAAATGTCTCCCCCAACGCCTTGGACAGGCGAGGATTGCTCGACTCTCAGACGAGTACCAAGTGGTGTCTGCCATCTGTCCTTCTCCTATACATCTTTCATGACAGCCACGGTCGAAGACAACGAGGATAGGCGTAGAATGAACTTCACCGCATAAACCCCAGCTCGAGTCACATCCCCTTTCCTTTTCCTCTCCGCTTGGCGTTGGCATTTCTTCCAGAGTGATCTAGCCATACCCCCTCTTCCAGAGCGTTGACGAGAAATTTCTCAACTCCTCTCCAGAATTCTCTTCGTCCTTTTCTTCATGTCATCTCTGCGGCATTTTCCACCCCATCACTATCCCAACACTACGGCAGTTACCAAATCTCATATCCGTGGTTCGAGCTGGTCAGCACTCCCCAACCAAAATCCAAAAAGCTAGTCAGCAATATTACACCTCCTCTCAAAATTGACGCACAAAAGCGTGAAAAAGATTTTCTTTCAAAGTATAGGCAGATCCATGGTCGTGGGGATGGCGATAGACCGTGGGTGGGAGTCCATGGTGCGTGGTGCGTGGTGGGAGTTGGTAGCGAGTTGGGCCTGAGGAAGGTTCTGAAAGAACCGCGTAGTCTGAGATGGAGACATTGAGGTGGATTGTTGCGTTGTCTTCGATAGCCGGATTGGAAACTTGGACGTTGTGGAGATAGATATAGGTGTGAGGAAGAACGAGGACGTGGACGTGGATGACTGTGTCACGGCAGAGATGAGTTGCTGTAGGACGACGGAGTGCGGTGTTGCTTTGCTATGAGTTCTTGTCTTGTATCTGCATCGATGGTTAGCCAACGCTAAAAGAGGAAAGCAAGATATCAGATACAACACTGCCCAGGTCATTCTCCATACCACACGGCTTCTTCATCTCTACTCTCTACCCAAGCCCAAGCACCAACCTCAAAACCCTCACCGGCACAGCCAAAGGCCACAGCAGCACCTCCACCAAGCTCACCACCACAACACCCACCTTCCACACCATTGCCAGCGCAGCACACACCGCCAACCCATGCCCCAACAACGACACCGAAGCCTTGAAAAGCTCCAACCTCTCCTTGACCTGCAAATCTTCCTGATCCCCAGGGGCGAGGGCGAGGGCGCAGAGCGTCTCCACGACGACCGCAATCCATCCAGGTAGCCGTGCTTGAAAGCCCCTCGCGTAGTCGAGGAGGAGAGTCGCGAGAGCGTAGAGGATCCTAGCGCGGCTGTCATTGGAAGATGCTCTTGCCTGTTGGGTGAGGGGATCGACAAAGGAGGTCGAGACCTGGCGGCTGTTGCTTTCTTCATCACCAGCAGTGCAGATGACAGTCGAGCACGAGGATGCTTTCCTGGTTTCGATGCACTCTCCGCCGCGACACCCCAACGAACACCCCCTCGTCTCCTGTCGTTGTCGTCTCCCCCGCGGCACAGCAGCCAACTCCGGCCTCACCAACCTCACCCTCGGCAAGCGACCGCAAAGGTCCCAAGTAGCAGCAGCAGCATGCGCATCGGGAACCGTTTCCCCAGGCGCGCTGGGCGTCTTTGTAACCCCATCGGCATGATAGAGATCACCTCCCGCCGCGGCGGCAGTGGCAGCGTTGGCAACGTTCGTGCAGCTCGGCGCCGAGCCGAAGATCGACTTGCCGGAGATCTCTCCCGTTGCCGAGCAGATCTGGGCGTGCTTGGAAGTGCATGAATTCGAAGAAGGATGCGCTTCTGAAGACGGTACGGACCTGCGGATCGTTTGTGCATTCCTATCAATAGATGTGGTGGTGGTAATCTTTGGGGATGGGGTGAAAGGGGAGGTCAAGAAAACATGCTTGGCTTCTTCTTGCGCTTCCACTCGGGGAGATGTGGTGAGTTCTTGCCGGATCTTGTCGATTGGGGTCTTGCGTTTGCGGACGTGCAGTTGTGGTGGCTCGCTATCAGGCCAAGTAGTGCCATCGCGCGGGTCGTGATATCGATATGCGAAGAAATGTTGCCCAGTGGGACATGTATAGACCACAGGACCGTTTTCATCTGTTGTAGGGGTGTTGTCGCACTCTGCTGCGCTCAACGTGGTGGAAGGTTTACCGCAGTTTTGGAGCAGTCGTCGATCGTAGCCTTCGTTGGACACTTGTCTCGTCTTGCGCTGGTAGTGCTCCAGGGCCTCGATTTGCTCTGCGGTGTAGCCAGGGTAGGCGAAAGGCTGGGGCTCACGTGCGGAGGGCATGTGCACTACGAAGGAGTCTTCGGTCAGGGTAGGCGACGATCGTCTCACGTGGTCTTGTTCGACTTCATGTCTCGGCGTTTGGTGTGAGGTTGCAGAGTGTGGGGAGTTGCACTGCATGCCATTGATGGTGGCTGTACGTTTTGTGCGAGTATGTCCTCCACTGATCTTTCTTCCTTCATTTGCTCGGCTGAGTGACGGTCTTGTCTTGGGATGTGGTGTTGGGGAGTTGCGATCGTTTGTGTGGAGCTTCAGAGCATCTCCTGGAGAGTCTGGCGTACATGGAGTTCTAGTCCCTACGCTGGGCGATATCAATCCTGTGCGAGGGTTTGCTCCCCGTGCGGTCAGGTAGTCGTCGCTGTCTTTCATCCGCATTGGCGGTCGTTTCGGTAGGATTGTCTGTGGCGGGCTCTGTTCCAGTAAGGTTTCCTAGTCCTTGCAGATGATTGACTTCAGGGTCGATTTCAGGCTTCTTCGGCGTGGTAGTCGCCAATGCGGTGGGCAAAGCTCAGGCGATGATGATGATTGTGACTGCACTTTCTGCGAAGGCTTTGTTTTGACAGATTCTGGTGTAAGAGATGGCGGACGATGGAATTGTCGTAGATGAGCTGGAACTCGCGAATGATCCTCTGTGCTCTCCATTTTGCCAATCGTCTGTTGACTGCTGGAATGTAAAACGCCGCCAGGGCAACGAGAGGTACGAAATACGTAACAGCAGAAATCGTGACTTACCTCACCATAGCACTTGCCTGTTCACGCGACACAGATTGCATCTTTCAGCAGAAATCCACCTACAGCTCCTCCCATCACAGCAGGTACGACTCGGGGTCTGGGCATGGTCACACCACTCATATACATCTACAACCCCGATCCAGATGAGGTGGATGTTCGAAAAGAAGCTCCAGCGATAGTTCACACCGTCCGTATTGTGCATGTGTCGGCCGAAGGTGTCTTGCAGCGGAACGCCCGGAGGCAGCTCGCGAAGTTTGAGGCTGACATAAACCAACTCCAATGCCACTAAGGTCGCACTCCCATAGGTTGCATACGTAGGTGGCATTGACCACAACGACACGGGCCGTCGGGTCCTGGCTATAATCCGATCAAAGTATTCGTTGGTTCCTGCGTCCGGATTGCTTCGGCTGGCTAGGCGATGTAGAGCTGTCAAAAGTTGCGGCAAAAAGTCCGTTGGATGACGAAGCGCGTGAGCGGATTCCACAATCGTCGCCAATGGGTTTGGTGTGAGTACAGCAGAGCAGCGTTTCAGTCAGCAGTCAGCATTCAGAATCCTCTCAGGCCAGGAACCGCCGGCAGACCCGGTGCGCATCGCTGCTCGCGAGACGAGAGCCAAGTCGAAGAAAGACGCAAAGCACGATCTGCGGCACTTGAGTGCTTGGAAGCTGGTCCAAGAGTTTCCATTCACGTCCAGCACCATGATCGTCGTAGGTTGGGATTGTCGCACAGCTTGGAGGTCTGACGGCCGCGTACACAAGGGATACATCCAAGACGGAGGTGCAACGAGTAGAAGGGACGCGGAGTCGTTGACGAGAAAGGCCAAGTAGTGTGTGAAACGAAGGTCGGTCGCGGCGACGAGGCGGGCAGAGGGCGCATAGTTTGACTTGATCGTTTCGTGTTGGGATGAGGCTGCACGAGAGCGCACTGGGCCGGGTTGGCAAAGGCAATCAATGGCAGAGGCGGACTCGGAGCCTCGTCGTCGGTGGTGTTGGCCGGTACCTGGGGTGGCCCTTCACCACACGGCTGCACGGCACGGCCAAATATGTGTAGGACCAAAAATGCCTCATACAGTCGCGCGTCACGAGGGTTGATACGGGCGGTGTGTGCCGAACCACGACAATCTATCTACGGTGGAGGAAAAAAATTCTGCAAGGGCGTGGGATCGTTAGTGACACGCCGGAAGTCCTTCAGTCGGCGAGTCACGGATGGCAGGCCGACTCAGCCGGTTTTGGGGACGGGCAGCACACGCGACGGCAACGCCCACGACTGCGAAAACATGTCGCGCAGATCTCAGAGAGAGTTGCATCGCTGTAGTAGCCAGGTACGAGATGCCTAGACGGGGCAGCCGTCCGTCTCAGCGTCAGGTACAGCAGCGGGCCTTTCTACCCGCGCCAACGCCGGACGGACACGGTGGAAGATGAAGCTGCGAACAGAGTGGTTTCGACGATTCTGTGTCTGAGATAACGTGGGAAGTGAATGGGCAGGGCCAATTTCAGCAGGCAACGCAGAGCCAATGTGTTTGTTTTGGCGGCGCCGGGTGTTGCCCTGCAGAATGCCGCAATGAGGAATTGGGCGGATTGCATTGGAGCTCTCTCATTTCGGGACTGCTGTTTAGTCTTGGCTCGTGGCCTGTGGCCCACTGCTTGGACAGACCGTTGCCGCGCTCGCCAGTCTCTCGTCGCCGAAATTGGCCAAGTCGCATTTCATTGCTATCGGCGGACAAGACACGCAGGCCCAGCAGTGGTTTCACTCGGTTTACAACAATGCCCGTAGTGTGGTGAGGTTGAGTAGGCGGTGGTGCCGCCGTCGACGTCATGAGCGAATGGTGCCGACGGGCGGGATGGCAGCGTGGTGTGCAGTCGTCGTCGTGTCTGCGACGCGAGCTGCAGGCCGATGGGATCCTCAGGCAGGCCTTGTCAGCAGGGCGGCGGCAGACGCTGATTGGCGGAGGATGGAAAGCCCATCGTGAAACCCCGCGGTGGGCACCAGACGAGCCGTGCAGCACGATGCAGCTAGTCCCCGCGCGCTCTAGCGGCACAGTGACGTCTGGATCGGTGGGCTTTTGTCGGAGCTTGGGGGAGCGCTAGCGGGCAGCGGAAATGGTGCAAAATGCCTGGCGCAGGCAGGTGCGAGGCACAAAATGAGTGCAGGTCAGAGTGGGAGGGAAGGTGTGGGCTCGCGCCGGCTAGTAGCGCGAAGTAAAAATGCCGCAGCTCATCACGCCCGCCCAAGCCCAAGCCCATGCTCCCGTTGTCGTGCCCGTCGAGAGCTGCAGCACCTCACGGTATCGGGCCAGTTACGTTATTGGCATAATCGTGTCATCGCCAACGGTCCGACCGCGCCTGCCCAGCACGGCCACTGAGCGTGCTGCAAATCCCCAACAGCCTTTCCCATCTGAATTTACACCACGGGCGTTCAACCCACTGACGAAAGCTCGGCGTGCGCGGCAGAGCCCGTGCTATCAAGTGCCCGGCGCCTTTTAAGACACACCTCCCCAGCTCTCTGCCGCGCTTTGGAAGCTTCTCTTCTCTCACAGCACCGCGTCTGCAACACCACTCCCTCCATCACCAGCGACCATTGACTTGGACATCGCTACGACACGATGGCGGCTCCGCGTGTTAGCTTCTCCGACAAGGACCTCGAGAATGGCGAGGGCGGTGGTGCCGGCGACAGGTACGTCGACCGCAACAGCAGCAGCAGCAGCCTCTCCAACTCCCCCGGGCCAGGTGCACACGCACATGCTCTCCTCTAACACGGCAGTCGCAGGTCCCGCAAGTGGTCTCAAGCACCCGGCAACATCGAGGATCTAGGTAAATCACCACCATCATGCACGAGTATTCCAAGTCCGACATGTCTTCTGACGAGCAGCAACTAGACGAGTACACCGCACTGCAAAAGTACATCTCCACCTACCGGGATCCCAAGGCTGCTCAGCAGGAGGAGGCGGCCGAGAAGGCTGGCGAGAAGAAGCCCAAGAAGTCGTGGCAGGTTGGTCGTCGCCCTCTCCACGCGTCGCCATCACAACACTAACCACGTATGCAGTTCTGGAAGAAGAGCTCCAGCGGCGAGGGCGACGCTGAAGCCGACACTCACGTTCCTCCCGAGTGGCTCGAGGCCGATATCAAGCAGGGTATCTCCAACAACGATGTCGAGTCCCGTCGCAAGCGCTTCGGCTGGAACGAAATCACCACGGAGAAGGAGAACCTCTTCCTCAAGTTCCTGGGTTTCTTCACCGGTCCTATCCTCTACGGTAAGCACTCCCCACCACTGCCCTCGCGGTCCGGTGCATTTTGCACATCTATTACGCGCTCAATGGCTCGCCGCCTCGCCGCCCGCCCTGTTTTGCTTTTTTGCCGCAAGCTTCGAGATCGCGGCTTGGAGCTACGGGCGCAAAAAGCTTGGCACGCATTGCTTGCAGCTGATCTGACGAGCTGCTGAGCTTCCCGCCCGATGCCCGACAGCTGATCGGCGGTACAATGGCTAATTTTTGGCAGTCATGGAAGTTGCTGTCATCCTTGCCGCTGGTCTGCGTGACTGGATCGACTTCGGTGTCATCATCGCCATTCTCATGCTCAACGCCATTGTCGGTTGGTACCAGGAAAAGCAGGCCGCCGATGTCGTCGCTTCGCTCAAGGGTGACATCGCCATGAAGGCGACCGCCATCCGCAACGGTCAGGAACAAGATATCAAGGCCCGTGAGCTCGTCCCCGGTGACATCGTTGTCATCGAGGAAGGCCAGTCCGTCCCCGCCGACGCCCGTCTCATCTGCGACTACGAACACCCCGAGGACTTCGAGAAGTACAAGGAGCTGCGCGAACAACATGCTTTGGACCCAGAGGAGGACCCAGCAGGCTCTGAGGATGCCGAGGGCGAAGAGGGCGAGGGTATCCAGCACCAGGGCCACGCCATCGTCGCTACCGATCAGTCTGCCATCACCGGTGAATCGCTCGCTGTCGACAAGTTCATGGGTGACATCGTCTACTACACCACCGGCTGCAAGCGTGGCAAGGCCTACGCTGTCGTTCAAACCTCCGCCAAGTTCTCCTTCGTCGGTCGTACTGCCACGCTCGTCCAGGGCGCCAAGGACCAAGGTCACTTCAAGGCCATCATGAATAGCATTGGTACGGCGCTTCTCGTCCTGGTCATGTTCTGGATTCTCGCTGCCTGGATCGGTGGTTTCTTCCGTCATCTCAAGATCGCTACGCCCGAGGAGTCGGACAACAACCTGCTCAAGTACGCGCTGATCCTGTTCATCATCGGTGTGCCAGTCGGTCTTCCAGTCGTTACCACCACCACTCTCGCCGTCGGTGCTGCCTACCTCGCCAAGCAGCAAGCCATCGTCCAGAAGTTGACTGCCATCGAGTCGCTCGCTGGTGTCGATGTCCTCTGCTCTGACAAGACCGGTACTCTCACTGCCAACCAGCTCTCTATCCGTGAGCCCTACGTTGCTGAGGGCGAGGATGTCAACTGGATGATGGCTTGCGCTGCTCTCGCCTCGTCCCACAACATCAAGTCCCTCGACCCCATCGACAAGGTTACCATTCTTACTCTCAAGCGCTACCCCAAGGCGCGTGACATTCTCAAGGACGACTGGAAGACCGAGAAATTCACTCCTTTCGACCCCGTCTCCAAGCGCATCACCACTGTCTGCACCCTCCGCGGCGACCGCTTCACCTGCGCCAAGGGTGCGCCCAAGGCCGTCCTCGCCCTGACCGAGTGCTCCAAGGAGACCGCCGACCTCTTCAAGGAGAAGGCTTCTGAGTTCGCTCGCCGTGGTTTCCGCTCGCTCGGTGTCGCCTACCAGAAGAACAACGACCCATGGGTCCTCCTCGGTATGCTTTCCATGTTCGACCCGCCCCGTGAGGACACTGCCCAGACCATCGTCGAGGCCCAGCAGCTCGGTGTCCCAGTCAAGATGTTGACTGGTGACGCTATCGCCATTGCCAAGGAAACTTGCAAGATGCTTGCCCTCGGAACCAAGGTCTACAACTCTCAGAAGCTCATCCACGGTGGTCTCTCCGGCACTACTCAGCACGATCTTGTCGAGCGCGCCGACGGTTTCGCTGAGGTCTTCCCCGAGCACAAGTATCAGGTCGTCGAGATGCTGCAACAGCGTGGCCACTTGACTGCCATGACTGGTGACGGTGTCAACGATGCTCCATCGCTCAAGAAGGCTGACTGCGGTATCGCCGTCGAGGGTGCCTCCGAAGCCGCCCAGGCCGCCGCCGATATCGTGTTCCTTGCTCCTGGTCTCTCCACCATCGTCTTTGCCATCAAGACTGCCCGCCAGATCTTCCAGCGTATGAAGGCGTACATCCAGTACCGTATCGCTCTCTGTCTTCATCTGGAAATCTACCTGGTCACCTCCATGATCATCATCAACGAGACCATCAGCTCCGAGCTCATCGTCTTCATCGCTCTCTTCGCCGATTTGGCCACTGTCGCTGTCGCCTACGACAACGCTCACTCTGAACAGCGCCCAGTCGAGTGGCAATTGCCCAAGATCTGGATCATCTCCGTCATTCTCGGTATCGAACTCGCCATCTTCACCTGGGTCATCCGCGGCACCCTCTACCTGCCCAACGGTGGTATTGTCCAGAACTGGGGTAACGTCCAGGAAATCCTCTTCCTCGAAGTCGCCCTCACTGAGAACTGGCTCATCTTCGTCACCCGTGGTGCCAGCACCCTCCCATCATGGCAGCTCGTTTCCGCCATTGCCGGTGTTGACGCCATCGCTACCCTCTTCTGTATCTTCGGTTGGCTCAACCCCAACATCTACCAGGAGCCTCTGCCAAACCCAATGTCTCAGTTCCAGGAGACTCGCAACGGTCACACCGACGTCGTCACCGTTGTCGTCATCTGGGCCTACTCGATCGGTGTCCTCATCTTCATCGCCATCACCTACTTCCTCCTCAACAAGATCCCCTTCCTTGCCGACCTCGGCCGCAAGAACCGATCCATCCACGACACCCAGATGGAGAACATCATCGGTCACCTTAGCAAGTTGGCACTCAAGCACGAGAAGGATGAGAACGGTGAGGGCCGATGGACACTGTCGGCCAAGTCACAGGATGAGGAGGACGATGATTAGATGCTCGCCGAGATACCACATTTTGCAAATCAAGTTATAATTTTGGGACAGCAAAGACAAAAAAGCGGTTAAAGAATTGAATCCCGCCCACCCTTGCAACGAAACGTATGTGTGTGTTGTGTGTGTTACTACCGACAGGAAGAGGAGCCCTTTTTCGTAATGTGCTTTTTGCCTCCCGTCCTTCATTGTTCTCAATTGGGGAGTGCAGCACTGTATATAAATTCTCTCTCTATCCGGTAGTAGATGGATTAACGAGGCCCACGGCGTGCTGAGATATAATAAATGCATGATCGAGTTTTAATAATACTGCGATTTTTTCTACTTTAAATGTATAATGTCTAATACTGTTCACTGTCCATCGCGGTGCTAGATCGAACATCTCTTCGCGTTCATCCTATTGAGCAGGATATCACGGTGGCCGGAAGACGTCTGCCGAGATGCAATACCGAAGTGAAGTTCAAGTTAACGATCTCGATGCAGTATCTCTTTCCTTCTACGCGCCTCTACTCGCCTCGCATTTGCCATTCGCCTACCTCCAATGTCTACTAGCATCATTGTTGGTTCGCCTGACAGGACCGCAGTAGGACCGAGAACGACACCTTAATTTCAATTTTCTTGAAACCACCAACAAGTCCAACACTACGGCGGGATAAGACAAGCGTGCAGGCGTGACCAGAGTTGCGACAAGGTACAAGGAGCAGGGAGCAGGGATTGAGTGTGTTGTGCATGGGCATGGGGTGGAGTTGGATCCACACTGGTTCGAGTTTTTTTCGCTGGCGGCTTTTTAAAGGGCCTGGTTATTTAGTTTTGGGATGGCGGCGAGTTGGTGCTGGGCTGGTCGCTTCTTTCCTCCACATGCCGTCGTCGGTGGGCCACTGGGTGAGGATGTGGGTGTGGGTTTGGTGAACGGTTCGTTTGTTTTATGCGAGGGGGATGGGTGGAGGGGAGGTGAGTGGTCGCGTGCTCTGCTTTCTCGTGTTGCTGTTCGTTCAATTCGAGAGTTGAAAGTGGAGGGGATGGGGATGGGGATGGGGATGGAGAAGAACACTTGTTCGTTGTTCTGTTTCGTTGTCCTCAATGCTTGTTGTAGTGATGGACCTACCAACTGACGAACAGTTCTTCCTCCTTCTCCAGATGTACCGACCGGTGGATTCATACGAGCGACGAGGAGATGACGTGAAGTTCAGTGCTGGTTGATTTGCGAGGGATGGACCTCTCATTAAACAGCCCTGTCCTGTCTGAGGTTCCTGTTTTGTCTCGGTATCTTCACCACACGACGAACGACGTAAGCGAAGCGAACGAAAGCACGCAAGATGGATAAATCAACCCGAGATTTCGATTGCGTGTTTCCACGAGGCCCCAAGCACTCGAATGACGCGATTGTCTCATCCCCTTACACCTACGCTATCCTACCCTCCCCTCCGAGCCTCCAACATCCATCATCTGTCTTGTCCCCTTACCCTCCCCTACGGGCACCATTCCCCCAGTCTCACCCCACTCCCACCCTCCCCTCTGTCTCTCCATCCTCACACCATCCTCCCACCATCCTCCTACCATCCTCCTACCATCCTCCTACCATCCTCCCTCCCCCTTCCTTTCTAACATTAATTAATCGTATACCCCCCATCCACCACCATCGCGGCCCCCTGCACAAACGACGCCTTCGGACTCGCGAGGAACAGCACGGCGTCGGCGATCTCCTGCGCGGTGCCCGGGCGGTTGAGCGGTGCGAGGGAGATGGCGGGCGAGAGGAAGGTCATGTTGGGGCGGGTCATCGGGGTGTCGATTACGCCGGGGCAGATGCTGTTGAGGGAGGGGGGTTAGTTTTTGGAGGGGATGGGAGGGGGGATGGGAGGGGGGAGGCAAGGAGGATTAGGGGGAAGTTGGGGGAGTTGAGGGGGTTTGGGGAGTAGGGGCTAGAAGGGTGTAAGGCCTGAACGAACCAGTTAACACGAATATTATCCTTGGAGTACTAGACATGGATTTCATTCATTAGCTATGCGTTCGTCTCGAGAGAGGTGAGATTTAGTACGGTAGGGCTGGACTGGCGGACATGAACAGATAAAACCCAAAAAGAAGAACTCACATCAATAGCATCACAGCGCGTCATGCTAATCACGGCTGCCTTCGAGGCACAGTATGCCGCTTTTTGTCGTCATGAACGTCAGCCAAGACAAGACAAGTTCATGTCCCCAATCCAACATTCAAACACGAAATCCGAAGAAACAGAACTCAACATACCAGCCTCCGACCTCCCCACAATCCCCAACTGACTCGCGACATTCACCACCGCGCCTCGATTCCCCGGCCGGCCATCATGCGTGTCCAGAGGCTCCTGCTGGCGCATCTGGGCAATCTCCGCGCGCGAGGACAGCCAGCAGCCGCGGTAGTTGATGGCGTTGATGTGGTCGAAATCTCGGGGGGAGAGGTCGTGGGAGCGGTGGGGGGTGGTGAGGATTCCTGGGCGTGTGGGTTAATACCTTCCCTCGTCTCTCCTCGCTCAGGTGGGATGAATACCCACCAGCAGCATTAACAGCATAATCCACCCTCCCCAACTCCCTTACCGTCCTCTCAACCATCCCCTCAACCTGCCCCTCCTCACTGACATCCGTTTCGATCGTCACGACGCGGACATCGCCATCCGTCGCCGCTTCGTGGATCGCTTTAGCCGTTTCTTCCAGCCCGGAGGTGTTGAGGTCTGCGAGGGCGAGTTTGCGGCAGCCTTCTCGCGCGAAGGAGAGGGCGGTTGCGCGGCCGATGCCTGGGATATAGAATCAGTCTCGTTGGTGGTGTTGTGCTGAGGGTGTTGGATGGATGGGTTTACTCACCCGATGCGGCTCCTGTGATTAGGGCGACGCCGGGGAAGAGGGTCATTGTTAGGAGGTGGAGGTGGCGGGATGTGGTAAGATGCTGATTGTATGTTTGTCTGGATGGATGTTTAATACATTGTTCAAGGGCGAGCTATAGCTATGGGGAGCTCTCTCCAGAAGGTGACGTGAGGTTGGTGGAGATAGGCCTGGCAGAAAGCCTATTTTGTTTGGCCGAGAGATCGATAGGGATAGGGAGGGATGGGTTGGTGAGTGCTTGATGTCTTTGATCTTTCCTGTGTTGAGTTCCTTGTAATCGGACTGATTTCAATTTCAATGTCGAGGCGCTGAGGCTGTAATCGAACAACTTGTGTTCAGGTAGACATTCGTTTCTGTACACAGGATGGGCCAGTGCGAAACAGAGTCATGCTTCTATCTTCTCGATCAGTCGGGCTGTGGTAGATCAAAACCATCAGGGCGAGGCGCTGCTTCAGACAAGATCGATAGCCTCGCTCATCTTACATGCGGCGCCTACTACCAAGTTCCAAAGCGGTGCATGGCCCTTGGTGCTGGAACACCAGCACGACGATCTGATTCAGGACTAAATCTTCATGTGTCGACCACAAGAAGAGATGGCGCAGCATTCGTCTGCTTCCGTACGTTCTCGCTGTTCGCAACGTCGTCAGCTATCAGAGACGACCAAAGACTTCATTGAATAGATCTCGCTCGACGCTCCAGATGACATCGGCCAGCGTTCGTGGGTGAATCATCCTCAGTATGTCGACCTATAGCCTCTGCTTGAGTCTCTCCATCTGCATCTACTCGTCGCTCGTCGTCATTATATGTCATCTCGCTCCTCTCTCAAGAGCATGCACGAGTAACAATTCCCCCAAAACGGATGCCGACAAGCCAGAAGAGTCGGCTGAATGGCACCGCCTCGCGACGGGCAATCGGTCGATATGTTCGTGAGGTGTACTCGGAGGAGTGTCAAGCATGCTCCATGTCGGAGGACGTATCTGATGTGTGAATCGGGAAGTTTCGTCGCCCAAGTGGTACTGTCGACGTTGCTGTCTCTCTTCAGGAAAATCTCGTGGACGTGGTGAACCTGCTCAAACCCCCGTGCAATGTTTTGAGAAGTCTCTTCCTCGTCTGCACGACATGTCGTTGGCTTCTTGTTCTGTCTCCTCCAGATAGGTTTCGCGCTCCCTTGACGACCTCCAGTACTCCATCGATAGTGAAAACGCCTTCAATCTTACGGATCATCTGCGTCACCTGAACTTCCAACGTGGCCGGTGAACGGTCAAGCACAGTGTCGTGGACGCCCAAGGCACTCCCTCGAAGCACCTGCTTCTACGCTTTTCCGTGAGGCTCCTTTCCCCCCAACATGGGACGGTTCGTGTGAGAGCTTCCACGCCTCCATGTTGTGTTGACCGAGGTTGGTACGTGTTTCGGGAGCTCTCAAATGCAGGACTGCTCGTCCTTGGGCCGTAACACTTCATTCAAGGCTTTTCCCGCGAACGTCGTTCTCGTCAAGGGGCTTGAGCCAGGGCTGCCTTTGAGCCTTGCTGCTGAAGGCCACGACGAAGTCAGCGCCAGCGCAACGAAGTCAAACCAGCTCAGACAGCCCTCCCGTCCAGTCCAATCCAGCCCAGCCCAATCCATTCCGGTCCAGTCAAGCCAAACCTCCCCTTTCGAGACCTAAAGACTTCATCCCCCAACAATCGACCGATTCCTCCCCGTCCCCGAAATCGTGCACAGCAAATTCTCCAAAAACGAAATCCTCCAACTCGAATTCGCCCCCTCACTCGGCGGCAACCGTCCCAGCAACGCCGTGGCCTTCCTCGCTGTCTCCTCATCTTTACACCGGGAAGCGATGATATACAGGGGTTCTGTCATTCCCATAGTCGAGGAAAAGTAAGGGGTATGCGGTGGTTGGGACGACAAAATTGTCCGTCTTGGGTCCCTGGAGTGCAAGTCGGAGATCATAGCGAAGACCTTCTTCATATCGTCCGTAAAAGGCACCCAGGCGTCCTCGCCACGGGTGGGGTCGACGCTGGCGACGACGAGGGCGGCGAGCTGGTGGCATTTCATGAGTTTGCAGGAGCGGATCATGGTGGAGTCGATCTGGGTGCGGGAGAGGAAGCTGTCGAAGGCGGCGCCCCATTTGCGGAACCAGGCTGCGAGGTCGGCTTTGGCGGTTTTGAGCGAGGTGCGGTCGTCGCCGTATTGCGTGAAGGCGTCTTGGGTGACGGAGATGCCTTGGAGGAGGAGGATACGGGCTGAGGGGACTGAGGAGATTGTGAAGGGTTGCGTGATGTCGAGGTATTCTTCTTTGCCGCGCTTGGTGTCGCCGTAGTAGACGCCGAGTTGGCTTTCGTATTGGACTACGAGGGGTTCGATGAGGGCCATGGGGATAGGGTAGGCTGAGGTGTGGTTCTTCTGTCCGTCTTCCTCTGCAGTTTGCTTGAACTGCTTTAAGATTCTTGTGGCGTGGACGACGTGCGGTACTGCCGCTGCTCGACTGTCGTTCAGACTTTCGAAGCATGCAAACAGGATCGACGCCGTGAGAGCTCGCAGCAAGCCTCGAGAAGTGCCCTGCGAGGGCTGTACCAAAGCCTTGATGGCCTTGTTGATCTGTCTCAAGGCAAAAGCATGCAACCCATCAGTCTCAAGGTTGAACTTCGCCGCCTGCCTTCGCAGCTTATACTCATGCGAAGCCCCAATCGCCGCGACGGCATGCTTGATCGCCGGATCGTCGTGAGTCGCTTGGAGAAGGACCTCAGACCAGAACGCAAAGTCCAGGTAGCCCGCCAATTCGGGCGCTGAGATGGTGGAGAAGAAGTAGAGACATTGCTGCTCACGCTGCGTGCCTTCCCAGCCGACGCTGATAGATTTGATGGACAAGGGTCCGCGGATGTATTTGCTTGGACGGCCTTTGAGTTTGGGAGGTAGGTTGGAGGCCCAGTTGGCGGATTGGTAGGTCTTGCAGTCGGGGTTGTTGGAGTCGCAGGGGACGCCGCGGGCTCTTGTTGAGGGAAGTTAGTTCAGTTCTTTTCATGTCTGTGAGAGGTGAAGGTACCTGCAAGATAAACAACCCGTCCGTATTACCAGCGCCCTCGCCATCCTGCGCTCTTGCTCGACCATGGTTGCACACGCTTGGAGGGGTGCTTCAACGGCATGTTGTACCTAGACGTCTTCGACAGAGCCCATGATCTCCGGGCCCGCTGTTTGATTTCCAGCTCCAGTCTGCACTCAGATGACAATTATTCAGCTGCAAGGAAATTCAGCTTTGTGGTGGTTGTGGATGAGCTAGGTGTGTGTAGTTCCAGTCGAAGGATTGATGACGAACGGGAAGGAATCGAGCTCCATGTCGGTGCAGATGGAATCTTTGGGTCAAGAGTTGCATAAGCAGTTCTCGCCAACTTGTACGCTTTGTTTGACGTGAGGTTTAGTTGGCATCGCAGAGGTTATGCTGGTCTTGATAGGTCAATTCGACCACAAGGTGCGGCGACGTGGGAAGTTGGGACAAGAGTACCCTTTCCTGCCAGCAAACTCCAGGACAGCGACATGTTTGTTCTAGTACTCTGACCACGGCCATGCCTACTCTTGCTGCTCCCTTTTCTACAGTCTTCACGACTGGACTTCAGATCGCCTACCTCTTGATATGAAGCAGAACATGCAGTCGTTTCCTCGACGTGAGCAAATGAAGGGTTCGATGGTGAGACCGTGAGCCCTGATTGACCGCCAACTGGAGCCAACGACCAAAGGCCCGAAAGACGATGTGAAGGTCGTTGGTCTTTAGACGGGCGAGAGGCGAAAACCCAGCTGGCGACGAAGAGGTCCGTACACCCGACTGTAGCATCATGTTCCAGCCTCGAGCATGCCACACCGTCGTTACAGATGTTGTTGCAACAAGAGAACAGAGTATGGGAAAGATTGCGGAGCCCTACCGCCTGTCAGTCACGGCTTACTGTTTGGTCTGTCGAGACATACAATCTCGACGGCTCTCAGCAGGGCTTGAGCTTTGTCCTGACACTGACACTGGAGTTTAATACCGAAGGTGCGCCTGAACACAGGATGCAATGAGATACCCCGAAGCGAACGCTGTAAACAAAGCAAGCATGTGTACTGCCCGCATTCTCATCAAGCTGCATAGGGATTGTGTCTGCACATGCTCTTCAACAATCTGCTCTTGGACCATGAGGCCCGTCTGTGGCTTCACAATCATGTGCGGTACCGAGTAAAGGGTCATCGAGTCAAAAGCGGCTGTCTTCAACTAGAGATGAGGTTGATGGCGCTGGGATGCATGCATGCTATTAGATGCGTCCCGAAATCGATGCTGCTGCGATGGGGTTTGCCGAGTTACACATCGTGTTCGTGAAGCTTTGGAATGGTACAACTCATGATGCGCTGAAGGAGAGCCTGTGAAGCATGCTTGTTGTTTCTTGTATTGCTCCATTTTCGAGGATCTTGAGTGAGATTGGAAACAAGTAGAAAACGAATGCTAAAGAGTGTTGTACGCACTCACGCAACGAAGCCAGTTGCTCACCTGTGTATAAGACGTACCAAGGTCGTCCTTTTGCTTCCTACCTTTTTAGCATGGCCCTCGCGTGGATCAGATTGTGCAATCTCACTTCTGCATCGTGAAGCAAGAGTAGAAAGTTGTTCCCCTACCGTACAGCGGACTCGCAGGAGATCCAGCGTTCAATTCCTTGTGAGGCTCCGTTCACTGGATGAGGGTGCTTCGATGGGATGCACATGAAGTTGCGCGCCGTGCACCGTACCCTTGATATCCTTACCAATGCATTTCCAAAGTTCGGCACCTGAACGCGCCAGATTTGATGTCCACAGGGAAGGCGCGTTGGCCACGTGAGGCTTAACGGTGGAGCCAGGGTGTTTGTATCCATGTTTGTTTGGCGAGAGTAGTGTAGTAGGAACGAGCTTTGAATCGCGGGTTCAAATGCTGCAGTACCGTCTGAGGGGGTATTCGGGGAGGAGATGGATGGTCGAGAAGAGGTGCGGTTTCGTATGGTGTGTTTGGACGCGAATCACGAGATCCAAGCGCGCTGTTGAAGGTTAGGGGTTAGGTTTGACAACGGTTCTTCTAGAGCGCCATCCGAAATCACGGCTTTCACGACAGGGTTTCGTGAAGCAGCAGGCAGCGATGAACGTAGCAGATGGCACGCTGCACGGTGGGAGAGATGGGCGCAGTAGTGCGATGGTGGTCGGAGTGTGGTGCGAGAGGATAGCAGCAGCGGGGGAGCGCGGGCAGCGAGTGCAGAGGGCGACGGACGGCAGCTGAGACGAGCTGAAAGCTGCGAGATGATGAGGCCATTCTGCTTGGGCGCTGCGGCATGCTGCTGTCGTGCGACGTGACGGGGAGCGTCTGGCAGAGATCCAGAGGCAGGCCGGACCGCGAGAGATAGCAGGAAGAGTGATAGCAGAATGTGCGGTATTGTTGAGATCGGTGGGAGCACGCGTCGACGATGACGCTGCTGCGCCGAAGAGACAGACAGAGAGTCGCTCGACATCGCGATCCAGCGCTGGCGTCGCATCCTGGTTGAGAGGGAAAGCCTGCACGCTGTGTTTATCTCGCCCAATCACATGCCTCCATCGATTCACCGCCATTCCCTATCGAGTATGGCGCAGTCTGGCTAGTGAAACGCAAAGGAAGGCGGGAGACGACTCGAATTTCTTTGCTGCTCTCGTCGCCATGTCCTCGTGTGTTTGGCACGCAGCGGACAACGTGCAATCCCACCGGCCACCCGCCTGGCGTAGACGCGCGATGCCGCCGCCGACGAGAATGCGGCGTTAATCAAAATATTGGTCGCAATTTGATGGCGCGGTGAGTGTGGCAGCAGCAGCTGATGAGGAGCAGAGGCACCAAAGCAAAGCAGCAACGGAAGGCGCACGGACCGCCTCTGCTTGGGCGGCTTCCCTCTCACACTCAGGCTCACGCTTCTCTCTCCGCGACTGGCCTCGTACTGCTGCCACTTTCAATTCTCCTCCTCCTCCACCACCACGCCGCCACCCATACACACACCACCCCTTTCACGGCCACTGACCCGCAGTCCTCTCCTCTGTCTTGCGATTCGACTTGTCACCGCCCTCAGCCCGCCGCCAGCGCTCCCTCCACCGCGCTGCTCCTCTCCCGGTCGCCTGTGCCAGGCCGCTTGACGACGCAAAATCTGCTCTCTCTCCTCCCATGCCCGCTCGACACGCATCGACATTCGATTCACGCTGTACACGGGTTGACTGGAGGCTGTTAGTGCGAGATACTGCCTGGCCAGCGTGCCCGTAGACGGCCATCCGCTCGGACAGAGAATCCTTTGTTTCGCCTTCTCCCTGCACGGCTCGCCCACACACACGCCTCCACGCCGCGACGAGGGCTCCAGCTCGTGCATCGGCGTCGACGACGCCTTAGACCGTGGCCTCACCGTCATGCGCCGCCGTCCAGGTCAAGATTCCATCACCTAACTTCTCAGCGCTTCTACGAAAAGATAGCATGACCGAGACCTCATCTTTCCCTCCCAAGGCGATCCATGCTCCTGCCTCCGCCCACGTCCTGCCGCCGTCGACATACACCGTCGCTCGCCATCAGCATTATCATGCGCCCGCGGACCCGGAGCCAGTAGAGCCGGTTGAGGAGACCATCCACTGCATCTGCGGCTTCAGCGACGATGATGGCTGGACTGTCGCATGCGACGAGTGCAACCGATGGCAGCATCAGTCGTGCTATTACCCTCAGTATGACGAGCGACAGATGCCTGCCGACATGCAGCACGCCTGCGTCGAGTGCAAGCCGCGACCGGTCGACTGGCAACGAGCGCAACAACGCCAGCGCGAGAAGCGACTACAGCAAGAGCCACAGACCAATGGCGTCAAGCGCAATGCCACCAAAAGCCACAAGAAAAAGATCAAGGAACCGGGCACTGCACACACAAACGGCTGGCCTGTCGACAAGCTACGACACGACCGCAACAGTGCTAGCCCGAGAGATCAGCCCCCTCCCGCAAAGAGACCGAAAACTAGTCATCGCACGTCGGATTCGACGACCACGACCACCAAAGGTCATTCACGGAAACGCAATGCGTCCAGTGCAACCCACCGCCGCAGCTTATCGCGGTCACCGGACTCACCCATCGAGCAGTACTCGGAGGAATTCCTGCGATGCTATCAGGAAGATGACTGGGTCGTCACATACACCAACCTTCACAATAGCATTGCCATCACCAGCGCTTTGTCGGAATGGCTAGGCTTTTCCGAGGAAGAGTTTCGAGAACACCACAACCAAGCCAAGGGCGAAGTGCTCATGCGATGGGATGGAGATCTCGATGAAATTCCTGGCAAGGCGCAACTCGACATTCTGGAAGCCCGGGACGACACAATCCAGTACAACGGCGAGCATCCAACCTGGAAGATGTTGACCGTGAAAGAACCCATCGCCGAGGGTGCTTACATTGGCGAACTCAAGGGACACGTCGGATTCAAGAAGGACTACCAGTCGGACGGTGCCAATCGATGGGCTCAGCTGCGACACCCTGAGCCTTTCGTCTTCTTCCATCCGAAACTCCCCATCTACATCGACTCACGAAATGAGGGCACCGAGCTACGCTATGTCCGACGCAGCTGTCAGCCCAATGCGCGTCTTCAAATCCTGGTCACTGACAATGTCGACTACCACTTCTGCTTCATGGCTACGACGCAAATCGACCCGGGCGTGGAAATTTCAGTCGGATGGGACACCAACGACGGCATGCCAGAGTTGATCGCAAAGAGCCGATTGTCGGGCGAAGAGCTGGACGGCTTCTCAGCATGGGTTTCCACAGCGCTTGCTAACTGCGGCCCTTGTGCGTGCCAGCTGCACGAGCATGACTGCTACTTCCACAGATTCGACCGTCGCAGGAGAGGTGTGCTGGAAGAAGCGCAGCAAACCAAACCCAAGAGCAAAAAGCGCAAAGCAAACCACATCTCCCCAATCAACACCAACGCCCTCAACAGTCGGTCTGGCAGTGAAGCGCGCAAGGTCGATCCAGACGACGACGGCACCGACTCGCGGTCCACGTCAGGCTCAGCGGGGAGGGGATCAGCCAGTCGCGATATTACCCCCAACACACACTACTCTACCAACGGTACCTCTTCGACGTTGCCTGAACTGTCAGAGAGAGAACGAAAGAAGCTGGCCAAGGAAGAGGAGATATTTCGGCGTCAAGAGGAGGAACGAGTCGGCAAGCAAGCCAAGAAGAAGCGGAATAGTGCAGGCTCGAGTCTCAACACACCTAGTGCCACATCGTCGAAGCAATTGGGTTTTCCGCCGACCAATTCGAAGTACGTCGATGCTGGCAATTCACGGCAGAGTGGACTGCCTGCGAAGACGATGTCAGGAAGGAAGCCCAAGACTCAAAAGGTATCTAGTCGGCCGCCGAGTAGAACGATCAAGCGTGTGAGACCGATCTACGTCGAGCACGAAGTACAGTGCGACCTTGATGCCGAGGAAGCACAGCAGAGAGCACCTACGCCATCATCGAGAAGGCCATACCTCACCATGCGCCAACGCCTGATCGAGCTGTGCGCCCGCAACAACAGCACTGGTAGTGACAGTGTCTCAAATGCTGCAACACCTACTATCCAGACCGCACCTCTGCTGGAGAAGATGCCCACTGCCAACGAACCTGCATCATCAAGCTCACCAAAGCCGAGTCCGCAGCCCAATACGTCGGACGACGTGGATATGGCAGATGCACCCGGCGAGGAAGACAAGGCGTCATCGCCCGTCGATGTGAAAGACAACGTAGTCGCAGCTCAAGACGATGCAAGCAAGTCATCGCCGGCTGTAGACTTGTCCGCCACCAAGTCAACATCGCCGGCCGTGGAGTCCAAGACTGGTGATATGCACCTTCAGATGCCTCCGCCACCAGCAAATCCTTTCAGCCAAGCCGTTCAACCTCTATCTGCCGGGTCGCCGACCACGACGACGAACAATGTTGTCCAATCACCTGCCACGCTTGGTACTCCATCGATCTTCTCACCTTCTGTGAGTGCTGCTGTCGCACCAAGCCCTGCCAAGAAGAAGCTTAGCCTGAGCGATTACACGCGGCGGAAGGCGAAAGACAAGGATGTTGAGACTAGCAAAGAGCGGGACAGCTCGCCTGCATCGACCAACTCGGGTCCGGTTGTACCGCCCCTTCGTCCATCTTCGTCAGCAGAGGCAAGAGCTGCCGAAGGTGGTTCCGCAATCGATGAGGATGTCAAGATGGAGGATGCCAGCGATGCGCCTGCTATCAAGGCTTGAAACAATAACAACAACACTCGCTCACTGTACTACTGAAGTTTGTGCTTTGTCTATACCAGCGAGGCGTGCGGCGTCTTTTGATTTGTTCTGCTACGAATGGGAAGGGCGATGGTACGAATAAGGGAAGGGAACCCTCACTGCTTGGAAGACTCAAAGAGGGGAAGAAGGCACGAATGGAAAGGACACAAACCCTGATGATGACAATTGGAATCAAACGTTCAAAATAAAGCGGCCAAGTCATGTCGATGCCGCATCACGTCGGACGAAAGACAAAGAAAACCTCGATTCTCCAGATTAAAGAAGGGAGGGAGAGAAAGCGAGACTTCTTCTTGCATGTAAACTTTTTTAAGAAATCACCACACCACATCCACTCTTCACTACCAGAACCGAACTCCCCACGACACGAAGACGAACGATTCGAGCGATATAGCTATGTGAATGAAAAAGAAATCAACTTTGATGAAATGACTTCCCTTTCTCATCTCTTGCAAGAGGTGGCTAGCTAGTTACGGCGCAAGAGGGAGTGGATGGAGAGTAAGGTATGAGCTAATTACTTGCTTGCTTGCCTGTCGAAAAAGCTCACGTGAGGTAGGGAGCATGTATGTATGCTTGTAAGGTTGCTCTGAGCCCTCGTTCTTTCTTTGATTCTCTCTCTCTCTCCCATCCTCTCTATCTTACAGCACCTGCTTCTTCATCACCATGCTTCTTCATCTTCTCTCTCACCATCCCCTCGCTCATCATCCCAGCGAAAACTCTCCCATCATCCCAAACGAAAAGCCAATCCCAATCCCAAAGTAAACTCAACCTGCAATCCCATCCCCATCTCCATCTACTGATTCACAATCCTCAGCCCTCCAGCGCCCAGTTGGCCGTGATCGAAGTCGGTGTCTGGTTGGGTTTGGGGAGTTTGTGGTGGAGTGGCTGCTTCGGCTCTTGGAGGGTTCTGTTTTGCTTCTTGTGGAGCTTCTTGGGTGGCTTCTTGTGGAGGTTCTGCTTCTGCTGTGGTGGTTGGATCTCCTAAGGGGGAGGGGGAGGTTGACTCTGGGTCTGGGCCTGAGCCTCCTCCTTCTCCTGAACCAGGTGGCCGGTACGCGACATACGCCGCCGAAGACTCCGTCGCAGTCGGTTGAGGAGGTAGAGATGGAGGAGGCGGATTCGGATACCCCGATCGAAAACCCTCGCCGCCCTCCTGCCGATACGGCACATAACCCGGATAACTCGTGCGTCTATCTCTCTCCGCCCAATCCTTCGTCTTCGTCTGCACCGCAGCAGCAGCGCTGTCAAGTTCGTTCTCGGCGGGGAGTTCCACCGCTCCGATGTCTTCTTCTTCTTGGACCTGGCCCAGGCCTCCAAATCCGGATTTACCCATGATGGGACTGTGCAGACTGGACACCGTCGGACTGGTTTGTGAAGGGACTTCGGAGCCGCTCAATTCGCTGACGAGACTCGTCCGTCCGCCCTTCGACGTCCCAGCTGCGACAGGGAACGAGTCGATTTCAGGCGGTTGGCCCGTCAGGGTCGCGTTGCCGTACATGTACGGCAAATCCGCCGTATCCGTCGTCGTGGTGGAAGTAGAAGGTTTCTGATCTTGCTCCTCATGAGGGCTCTGTTGTTTCCGCCGGCGGTGCAGGAGGAAGATGAGGCCGGCGAGGAGGAGGGCGGTCGTGGGCAGGCTTGCGGAGAGGGCGGCGATGAGGGGGGTGTTGTTCTTCGAGGGGGAGGCGGTGGTTGCGGTTGTGGGGGTTGGTGATGCTGGGAGGGCTTGCGTGGCTGTTGAGATGAGGAGGATTGTTGTTGCGACGCCGGCGGCGTTGGTCGTTGCTGATGAGGTTGTGATGGTCGTTTCCGTCTCCGTCTGCGTCGTCGTCGAAGATGAACTGCTGGTCCTCGAAGTCGAAGTCGTCGCACTGCTACTTCCCCTCGTCGTCGTCGTAGCATCACCACCAGAACTCATCGCCCCCGGCGCCACCGACACAAACGCCACCACCTCCCCCTCCGGAACCTCAATCACCTCCGCCTCCCCATCAGCACAGCAATCCCGCGAGCGATTCCCATCGCAGCACCAATGCCCATCCGCACACTGCAGAACCGCCTCGTTGCCCGCTTCGCCAGCCCCTGTAAAACACACACATTAGCACCCATTCCCATCACCCATACCCTCCCCTGCAAACTCCCTCCCAACCCCTCTCCCCCCAAAGTCACTCCCCTCACGTACCTGTAGTACAAAACCCAGGACATCCCACCCCAAACGCCCGATCCGTACACGAATACCTCCCGAAGTAATTCTCCGCTGCGAGGTGGCAGAGGCCGTTGGAGAGGCATTCCCATTTGAGGGGGCAGCAGACGCTTGCGCTGCTGTTGGCGGGGAAGCAGGGGGTTGAGTCGGGCGCGAGGGTGCCGGAGGGGAAGTAGCAGTTTTGGGCGGTGGTGAGGTGGGCGAGGAGGAGGAGGAGGGGGGTGAGGGTGGTGAGAGTGGGCTTCATTGTGGGTGGTGGTGGTGAGGGTGGGGGCAGCGCATTACGTGGTGGGTGGTGGTGCGCGTTGTGTTGCTATGTGTCGGCGACGGTGGTGAAGGTGAGGGTGAGGGTGCGAGAAGCGAGCCGTCGTGAAGTCCGCCGAGTTTGTTGTGGCTGTGGTGAAGAAGTGAAGTCGCCAAAAAGAAGAGAAGTTTGCAAGTCGCGAAAAGGGTCCGAGCTCCGCGCGCAGCGCCTCGAAAACCCAAGCCAAGCAAAACTTTAAAAAGTTGCAAGGTTTCGAGTTTCACATGATTCTTGGCACGAACCCTCTCACTTTCGGGGAAGGAGCGAACACCAAACACCAACAACTCCAAGCTCGCCTTTCACATGAATCTACTCAATGAAAAAAAAATTTATAAAGAGAGACGGCGCATGTCGAAAGAAATAGAAGGTAGATAAATTTAACGGGAGAGATACCCACACAATATGGAAGTCAAGTAACACACACAGTCACAGCGTGTCACGAGCGAGTCCACCTGCAGACAGGCTTCCGCGAGACGGGCAGAGGCATACAGCCGAGAAAAAACGTAGCACGAACTTAAGCGACTCGACTTGGCTGTACAGATATGCCGGGTCATGCGGTGGTTGTGTCTCGGGTAGTTGCATTGTTGTGAGTTCGATGGATATCTGCATGAGATGATGCTTCTGGCTTGACCGACCGAGGCAAGGAGGAGTGTTGCAGGAATAGAAGTACAATTCAATTCGATCCATCCACACATCTCTTTCTCGCGGTCGGGCATACAGCAAGTCCCTATCCATCCATCACAAAAAGTCTATTGCAAGACGCATGCTCATAACCTCATACACGCATCCTCATTCCCCCAAAACGCCTTTTCGAAACACATCATCACATCACCTCCTCCCAAGCGAACTCCCCACACTACTCGGCGTAAAACTACTCACCTTACTACTCACCCAACTCCCACTACTGCTGACCCAACTCGGCATACTCAACTTACTGCTCCAACTGCCCGAACTCCTTCCCCCAACACTCCCGCTCTTCCCCCCACTCATCACGCTATTCGCCTTATTCGCCCACTTGGTCTTGCCCTCCGCGAACGAGTGCACGCCATTGATGACCAGGAACGCCGTGCTGCCGATGGCGCGGAACAGCGCCAGGCACGCCACGCTCCAGAGGATGAACTTGAGGTAGTAGTTGTTGGCCACGTGCGTGTTGGAGTAGATCTCGCTGACGCCCATGGCGAGGATGGCGTTGCAGATCATCCACACGATCACCACGTACGTGCGCACCGCGCGGTAGTAGTCTTCCTGGAGCTGGGTTTCTGAGACGCCGGGTTTGGTGACTTCGACGCGGTCGCGCAGGTTGCGGAGGGTTTCGTCGTAGCCCGAGTCGATGTCGAGTTGTTCCGAGGGCATTTCGACCTCGACGGTGCCGTTCTTGCCCACCTTTGCTACACCCAGGTCTTTGTTGATGACGTTGTCGCCTTTGGTGCCCCACGTGACGTCGTGGGCGTTGCAAAAGGCGTAGACTTGGAGCGTGCAAATGTAGGAGGGAAGGAGGGCGAAATAGGCGCCTGATGAGGTGAACATGTGCCAGGGGTCGAGATACAAGAAGCTCATGAAGAAGTAGAGGCCGACGGTGGAGAGCGTGGAGACCACGAGGTTGGTGAAGACGTTGTTGCCAAAGGAGATGGAGGAGCCTTCGGTGAGTTGGCGGACGACGATGTAAATGGCGGCAAAGGTGTTGTAGGCCATGATGATACTGAAGATGATCATTGAGGCCAAGAACATCTTCTTCGCTCCTTGCGGTCGGTTACCCATGGACAAGATGAACTGGACGATGATCGTGAGGATGCAGACGTAGCGAAGGACGATGAAGAGGAAGTTGCCAATGCCATGTCCGAAAGGATCGACCTTCTTGTCTGCCAGCGAGCCGGCGATGAAGTAGAAGGTGAGGTAGAAGTTGCCGAGCGCGAAGAACGTGAAGAGGAGCTGCACAAATTGGTAGACGAATTCGATATGCAGCAGGATCTTCCTCGCGATGGTGTGGTCGGTGTACCAGATTTGCCTGCAGTGGAGGCCGGAGTAGACGGCCGCGAAGAAAGCACCGTTCAGCCATCTTCTGCGCTGAGACATGAACTCAGGCACTGCGTCTGGCACGTCTGTCTCTCCTGTGGCGTTTCGAACGTACTTCAACACCCATCGCTCACTGCGCTTGGCCACGAGCTCCCAGCAAAGAATACGATCTTCAGCGAGGTACATGTTGGCTGTGAAGACATCGGCATCCTGTCCGTGGAGTGTCTCGCCCTTGAAGTATTGACTAAGCGGGCCATGACCAGTCTCATCGTTCTGCAGAGCATGGTATCGGTAGGCACTCAAAGCACCAGGCAAGACCGTGATGTATCCAAAGACGGACTCCAGCGGCTTGTCCAGGATGTTCGACATCTTGTATTCGAAGTTCTGCGAGGCGACAAGGGGATTCAACAGCGCACTCCAGGCCTTGCCCTTCGCTGCCTTGATTTCTCCAGCGGCACCCGCGACGTTCGAGTCACGATCGAAAGCTTTCCAAAGATGGTACAGCGAATCCTCTCCAGGTTTCGTTCCGACGTCGAGAAGAATGCAGACATTCGGGTTCAGCGCTTGGCCAAAGGCATTGAAGAACCATCGATGGCTGTTCAGCTTCTTCGCGTTCTTCTCCTTCAAACAGAAGATCAATTGGCACGGGACAATGCCCTTCTCTGCGCCCTTGAACTTGAGATCTGAATCCAGCGACACTTGCGTAGTGTACTCGTACACATGTGCCGTCACCTCACGTTGGTTCACCAGATTCTTGGCGATACCCGATTGATAGCATCCCATAGCCGCAAGAGCATCCAGCGTTCGAGGATGTACTTTCGCTCGACCATCGGAAATGATACAGACGACAATCTTCTGCCATCCATCCTTGCCCCAGGTCCGGGACTTGGCTCTGCTGCAGAAATGTGAGATGTTGCGCATCACACCGTGCATTGTGCGGGTAAAGTCGATCTCGTTTTCGTTGTACATCGTGATACAGATGAAGAGCTCCGTCTCACGAGTCGTCCGTCCAATGTTCTGACGCAGCTTGTATCCTCGGTCCACGAAATCATCTGGATCGCAAGTGACGGCTGTATAGCGCATGTGGGTGAACTCGACATCGTCGCGACGAGGAAGGAAAGAGTACAAGATGGTGGGAATCTTGCACTCCAGAATCAGCTCGCCGTTAATGAGCTTGACCTCTTTTGTCGCCATCTGTGCTTGACGTGCTCCTCTTCTCTCCTGCTTGCCTGTAGGCGCAGGACCATAAAGATCCTCATCATCTTCCAGCTTCGCAGAGTACATGCCGTCTCCGTCTGTGAGCGTGGACTGCGACATGAAACTGTCGCGCGACTGCAGATCAGGACGCTGGAAATCGCTGTCTCCGGTTGCTGGACCAAAGACATCATCAGGTCCGTCAATGGGTATGGAAGTCATATCAGGCTCTTTCTCTGCTTCTGCAGAACGAACTGACGCAGGCCGTCCCGCGGCGAAGAGGGGCGCTGGAGGAAGTGGTCGCTTCGGTGAGCCATATTGTGAGGAGGGTGTGCCGGGTCGAGGAGCTCCATTGATGTCCGCCGGTTCGTAGGGCACGTTTGTAGCCGGAGGCCTGGCATATTCTCTCGATCCTCGTGGTGTACCGAATGTTCTCGTGGGCGATTGCGATGTGCGAGATGACGGTCGGTAAGGGTCGTAGTCGTTGGTCGGGGGTGGAATCTCCGGCGCATTATCCAGTACCGAAGGCTGCCTGCTAAGCAGCCGGATACTGGGCTGATGCTGGTGGGTTCGCTGAAGGGGACTTGGGGGCCTGTTGAATGAGGGCAATGAGCCAAGGTTACCAGCGGGTGGGATATCTTGTTTGATATTGTCTGTGCTCTTGTCTCTGAAGTGGACTTTGTATCGCTTCGTTCTGGGGGCCGAAGCTCGTGTGCTTTGGGAAAGGTCGCTCTCAACGTCACGCAGCAGTGCATTCAGCTCCTCCTGGCTGTGGGACTGAGTCTGGTGCTCAGTTGGCGAAGGTGGAGGTATGTACGGTGCTTGTTGTGCTTGTGCATGTGTTTGCGGGGATTGATGTGCAGATGTAGCGCCGTTTCTCAATCGCTCTTGTGCTCGCAGGAAAAGATCGTGCGGGGAGGGTTTGGAGGGGGAGGTCTGCGACTGGTTTACTGACGCTGGTGGGTAGTCATCTGTGTTGGTCAACAAGCGCATCGTTGCGCCATTCTGTGAGGCAGTGGGAGTCGTCTCGTCGTAGCCTGGCGGAGGGCTGTAGCCGTCCGAGTTGTTTGGAGCGGCCATGTTGTCGCGGAATGCAGCAGTGGGGAGGAATGTTGTGTCGTCGTATTCACGCCTGCATCATGTATTCAACACTTTTCGAGTGGACTTAGCACTGGATAGCGAATGTAAGTGGGTGTGTGTTCGTCTGCGGATGATCGACGAGACATGGCTGATGATGCCGGCGTTTGAGGTCAGGGTACACAAAGTCGTCGCCCTGGCAACCGATAAGATAAGAACCGCCTGGTGCCTTTGATGAGACCCGTTCTCCCAACTTTCACCAATTGCACTTCTCGCAACACGAGAGGATCTCTCGTGGTACGCGTCGTTACAACATGCCGTGCTCTACCCTCCTTGTTGCGGTCAAAGCGGAATACTTATTCATCCCCGTTACTTCTACGCCATCCAAGCAGCTTGGGGTGCAATAAGCAGCGCAGTGGCTTGCGAAAAGTCGGAGAGATGGCACTTCTATTACGGTTCAGGACGTTCCACTTTGAGCAGAACACCGAGGGTAGGCTGGCCACCAATGCTTTACAACTGCCGCAGAGGGTGGCTTCATCAACACACATCATTGCGCATCTATCTAAAAGCTCAAAAGGTCGCCCTCGCCATTCTGCACATGCATCGTCGGCCTCACCGTTCCCAGTCCTTGGCCCTGATTGACCATATACATCTGCTCGTTCTGCATCCCCGTATGTGTTGGACTCGCCGCAAACCCATCGTTTCCAATGCCTTGCGCACCGACACTTGCAAAGTAGGCATCCGCTTCGTCCAAAACGTCCCCATTGCTCTGCCCGCCGTTCAGTCTTTGAACCGGTGCCTGCGCATCTGCCGCCACCAACTTCGCAGCTTGAGCGGCCTGCCAGCTGGGTAATCTTTCGCGTTGAAGAGCCGGGCTGTCTTGCAATCTTCGCGGCCGCGCTGAACGGAAGACGGTGTGCACTGGTTTAAGGTACACCGTTGCTAATGTACCAACCACGAGACACATTTCTTCGAGCGTCACGGGATCCAATTTCTCACTCTCAGCAGTAATTGCTGGCTTCTCACCCATCACAATGCCTTTCGCCGCTGCCGGATTGCTGCTCAGTAATCGCCAGTACATGTAGCCTCGATCTCGCAAGTCTGGGTTGTCTGTGTCTTCTGTCGCCCATTTCAAGACTTTCGGAACCAGATCCTGGCCCTTTGATGGTCGCTGAATGAATAGCTTGACAGTGGCTGTAAGTAGTGCCAATTGCACTTCATGCGTCTCGTCTTGCCAGCTGTCGAGGAAGTCTTCCAGCAAAACCTCCGAATTGTCGATGCGGTCCGCGTATTGGCCAATCACCCATATCATGGCAGCCTTCGCCTCAGGCTCATCCAGCGAGTCAAGGTTTTCGCAAAGTGTCGAAATGATCGACTCGTACTGATTGGGGTATTTGCGGAAGATATTCTTGATCACAACCGTCGCTTCCTGCACGATGTATGATACCTTGGTAGCCACCAGTTCCAGCAACGTCGAGATACAAAGCTTAGCAGCGGGTTCGATCTTGATGGCCAACTTGCCAATGGCGCGGACCGACTTTCGAACAAAGTGTACGTCAATCTCCGTGGCGTATTCTCGCAGCTCTGTGAGGACTTCGCGGATGTTCCTCTCGTTTGCAAGCATAAAGATGAGCTCCAGCTTCGTGACTTTGACGTAGATTGGGTCGTTGTACTTGCAGAAAAACACTCTTATGTCGTTTCGAAGTACTTCCGGCCGTCTTTGCAGAATCAACAGGGCATTTCTCAGAGCCAAATACTGAATCTCGGGTCCTTTGCTCAACAACGTGACGAGTGGTGGGCTGAGCTTCGTGCACAGCGCGGCGATTGCGCGTTCTGATTCAATATAGTTCATGAGGTATAGCATCACGCGTATGCAGGTCAACACGACCGCTGAGTTGGTGTGTGAAAGACGGGGCGCAATGCGGTCGGCGAGCAACGTTGCTTCTTGTGTGTCTTGAGGAACGTAAGATGTAAGAGCTTCGAGAATGTAAGTCTGTCCCCACCTGCATCACCTTGTCAGTCTTGTCAAAGTTGGGCAGAGTCCATTGCATACTCAGAGCAGTCCGGCAGGATCTGAACAATTTTACTGGCGTTAGCATAATCGATCGTCAGCTTGATGCTCTCGCTGCGTTCCCAGATGTCCATAAGCGATGCCAAAGCCGACGAAACGACAGTAGGATTCTCGTCTCGCAGCATTGAGTTGAGCCTGTCGATCAATTCACTCTTCTCCACCAAATGTTTATCGTGGTCGTAGAGCTTGGCCACGGTGAATGCGGCGGTTTTGCGCACGTAAGGGTCCGGATCTCTCAGTAGGTTCTTCAGAGGCTCGACGCTGGCTTCAACGAATTGGCGCACATGGATGTAGGACATTGTTCGTAATGCCAATGCTCGCATGAGGGGGTTCGAATCTTCGAGGTCCTGGTCATGGTAAGCATCATGATCATTGTGTTAGCTCAAGACACCTACTTGTAGCAAGATAGGCAATGCGCTCAACGCAATTTCCGGCTTCATCCTGGCATAGTTCACCAAGTAGAGAAAGCACCTGTCCACCTTCAGCTTCGACTATCCAACATCCTCGAGTTGGTACCCACATCTTCTTGATCTCCAGGTTCGGAATGTGCATGCACTGAATAATATCCGCAAACAGGGCCACCATATCGTTATTACTCATGGTCATGTTGGCGACGATCTTCTTCAGCGCAACCTTCTTTCCGAGGAAGTTCTTGTCCTTCTTGCCGCCGCTGCTATTGAGCTCGATCTTAAGCTCGGCGACCTTGCCCTGTTTATTACGGTTCTGTAAGCCTTGGGCGTAGTACGGTGGTGGGAGGTGATAGATGAACATCGTGACGCGATGGAGTTCGAAGGGGACATTCGAGGCTGTCTTGTTCGTATTGCCGTGTTGCGCCAACTACATAGCATCTCCCCAGCTCTTGCGACTATGGTGGTGCATTCCTGGCGAATATGAACTTGGAGGTGAGACGTACTCTAGCGAAGAACTTCGCATCTTGTCCCCCACCGCTACTCATCTTGCCCAGCTACTCGTTATCGTCACCTCGCTAGGCGCCGCCGTGCTGATCCAGCTCTCATGCAGGTATCTCTGTCCTTGGACCAATGCTGTTGCACAATGCGCTCCGTCTCGTGATGTCTCTCGTGCGGGGCGCGGTAGGGAGGTTGCGAAGCTTCGAGGTTGGCGGTCCGTCGGCGGGCTAGAACGAAGATAAGGTGGTCGAATCAATGAACGGGTTTCTCAAAGTGTTGTACGGTGTCGAGGAGGTGTAGTAGCTCGTGTTTCACATGAAGGCCTGCTCGAGCCCCGGGAACTTTAACGCCGTTAGACTACACGGCGCGAAGCGGAAGTGAAAGTCATCGGCCTTGGCATCTGCGACATCACCTTGAGCTTCCTGTCGACATCTCCATCCAAGCATCATACCACAACGACCATGGCGAGCCAACTACCACCACCACCACCCCCACAATGGGTCCTCGACCTCAACTCGACACCACCCTCAAAATCAAAGACCACCTTCCCCGACCCGCCAGGCTACACCCCAACCACCGCGCTCCAACAATCCTCCAAATCCAAGTCCTCCAAATCCGCCGTCACCCCTCGCAAAGCACCCACCCCCGAAGAAATGGACAGTCTCAAGCTCAAGAAAGCCTGGGAGCTCGCCCTTGCGCCCGCCAAACAACTCCCCATGAACGCCATCGGCATGTACATGACGGGGAACAGCCTGCAGATCTTCAGCATTATGATGGTGTTTATGCTGTTCAAGGCACCCGTGCAGGCGATTTTCAATATTCAGAGCACGTTTCAGAGACTGGAGAGTGATGGGAACAAGGACCAGATGATTTTGGCGAAGTTGGCGTACATTGGGTGTAATCTGTTGGCGTTGGCGTTGGGGGTTTGGAAGGTTAATGGGATGGGGTTGTTACCGTAAGTCGGCACTGCTGTGAATGATATGAGGTCCACTTGGCTAACCTTGAAAATAGGACGACGAGATCAGATTGGCTTGCGTGGGAGTCTCCAAGAGAACCGCTGGAGAGAGCGTATTTCGTACCCTCGTGATGGTACATGTAGACTTCGAGATCACGAATGGCACCCTTTTCATCCGCTACGTCACATGCTCTACACAATTTTTCCCGAGAACTTCCCAATTATCACGAGTAAACTCAATATCTTGACGTGAACGACAATGCCATGGCAAAAATGCGGCCAAAACGACAAGGCCTGATCAATCATTTCAAAACAAACGCCTCAAAAGACAAATCAAAAGCACAGCACGGGGCTCGAACTCCCGCCTCTCCGCCAGCAAAGACCAAAAGAGCAAAACGAGAAGGGGCATCGACCGGTGTCGATGCCGTCTGGAATTTCTTGTGTACCAGCTACTTCCCTGATTGGCGGTACATTTCTCAAGACATATAAAGGCTCATTCGTGGAGCCAGCTCCAAGCAAACACGACAGACCGGGCGCTATCCTGCAGGCTCCCGAAGTGGCTGGTCAGGGGTCAAACACACACGAGCGGCGAACAGGTTTGAAGCGGTAATGAGCCAGCGGAACGCAAGAGATCGAATCCAACCAGATTCCAATGCATGAATGAGCATGGCAAAAAGAAAAGCTACAGACAGATTGTTCAGGTCCACATATGATGAAGGTCGCCGAACAAAATGTAGGGAAGGGTGCCGCAGTGACATACAACCCGAAGGCAATGCCACTGCGACACGGCACCGTATCAATGGTTTGAATCGATCAGCTACTTCCCTGATTGGCTTTCGATTCCGAATTGTATATATAGGCTCATTCGTTGGGCCTTGGAGCAAACAGAAGCGGAGCCTGTCTACCGCAGGGTCTTGAGCATGGCTGGCCAGGGGTCAAATAGAGGCCGGCCAAAAAGATCGAAGTAGTCATATCGAATGGGGCTGATCGATTCAACTTCGAAATAATTAACTTATGTCTTTGGCAAAAAATGAAACGCCATGGACGTAGAGTGAAGTCATATCGGAATCAAGGGAAGGGTATCTTGATGTTTTTGATTGAATAGCTACTTCCCTGATTGGCTCCGGTTCTCAAGTAGTATATAGAGGCTCATCATTTGAGGTGCATATTCGCAACGCAGTTAGACGGGCCTACGGCAGAGGATAGTCATGGGGCCAAACACAGAACGGAATCTAAAATATTGATGCGACGGCATCTGAAGCTAATAAGAAAAAAAGCCGAGAACTGTGACAGCTGTAAGCATGGCCAGAGAGAAAAGATCAGCGGTGGATAGACCACAGATCAAGCAAAAATATCGACCCCAACGCAAAAATAAGGCAAGAGCAAAAAGGGAAGGGTATCGTAGTAACATACAAGCCGAAGGCAATGCCACTGCGACACGTCGATCGCCTTTGTGATTTGCCAAAGATGAGCTACTCCCCTGATTCGTTTTCGATTCCAAACGACATATAGAGACTCAGTCTTCCTGCGGGCCGCCGCTCGTGACTGAGCCGATGCGTAGCGGAAGGCTGCGTGTGACGGGTCTGTGCGTTGGGGGATTCACTGGCGGGAGGGAGGGAGGGGGCGATTTCTGGAATGCTCTCTTTTCCTCTGCTTTGAAAACACGAACACGCGAAAAGGGCATTTGTATCCCATTTCGCACTTCAACATGGCTGCCCTCGCCCTTTTCGCCGCATTCAATACCTTGAAACTCCTCGAGAAACTCCTCACCGACCTCCCCCTCGCAGACATCCTCACGACCTCCCGAGTCTGCAAATCCAGCCGCTCCATCATCGAGAAATCCCTCCCGATCCGCCACATCTTCTTCGAGTCGGAGTTGCCAGGTAGGTGAAGTCCAAGCCAGCGATCCCGATCCACGACCCAACAAGTGCCAGCCAGGCTGAACAAATCCCAAAAAGAAAAAGTCCTGCCCAACGGCACGCCCATCAACAGCTCCAAGACCTCGCTTTGGGTTTTTCGTACGGGACTCATGTTTTGGCCTACCAAGGGCGTCGCTGTTCCGGGCCAGTTCCTCGTCTTCGCGTCCCTGACGACTCGCTTCATCGTCTTCCGGCCCCGCGAGCCGGGTAAAAACCTCGTCAGCCATGGGAACCGTCTCTCGGTCGTTCCCAGTCCTCACGAACGAGATCACGGACGTAGTTGGACGGTTCATTTAACCTCCGGCGATGGGCAGTTTGTGGGGTGTCATGCGTTGAGGGAGACGTTTAGGGGGGATTCTGTGTTCTTGGCGTATGTTGAGACTTTTAATCGGAAAGGCGGGGATTGGGAGGATCTTGTGGAGGAGTGGCGGCGGGCGAGCAGGAGGGTCTTTGGGGAACACGTGGTTCGTAGGAGGTGAATGGGGAAGAGTGGCAAGAGACGGGTAAGAAGGGCGGTTTTCATTTTCGATGAGGGGCTGTTGCAAGGGTTTGGACGAAGGTGCAGCGTGATTGAGAGGGTTTGGTCGAGAAGGCACCCTCAATGCGAGTTGTGAATTGGCGAGAAAGTGAGGAAGCAATGCTCTTGAAGGGTGAAGGTCATGGTGTGCTGGACGGCTTTGTTTTATACATACTCGCGAGGGCTCTTCGCGCCACAGCTGCTGCTCTTGACCAGCCCGAAGGGCTCGATATCGTTCATAGAGCCTCTATTGTACCATCACTGCTTCTTGTACACCAACTCAGTGCTTCCCTTTCTCCTTGTCCTCTGACTCCGCTTGCTTCAGGAATTCTCTGTGACGCTCACGTATTAGCTTTCATCCCACATTTGCCGTGTCATTTGCCCAAAATCGTGTCCTCTGTGCATATCGGGGGTATGACGCACTGTATGAAGTTCTCCTCATCTTTGCTAGACGCATTGATCGGTGGGCCCTGCGTGGCCGACTGCTTCTTGCTGCCACCGCTCATGGCCCAGCCGCCGACGAACAAAGTAGAAAGGGTCGCGATCGAGAGCTGTACACATCCTCATCAGCCTTTATACTCCGCGATTGAATCAGGTGCCGGGCAGTGGTGTAGCTCTTTCCCGAGCTCAAGGGGCATCCACCATGCGCGGAGAGCGATTGCGTACCACGTGCGAGCCGACCTTCTGGCCGAAGAGGGTGTAGTAGACGACCATGTTTGCGGTGATTCGATTGTGATGTGGGAGGTGGTCGGTGTGGCAGTGGACGGGATGGAGAGGTCGCTGGCGCTGGAGTGAAGTGCTCTTGCAAGGATCCGTCCGTCGAGCTTGTTGCCGATGCCGACGCCACAACGTCAGCCACCTCACATGTTAGCTGGCGACGTCGTTGTGACATCCGGATTCACTTCAGCTCCAAGACTTCTGCTACCTACTTTACATATCATACACGACAGCCATATAGACACAGAATAGCCTCATCTTTGGCATCACTCTTCATCCCAGCCATCTAAGGAGAACATCTTCCCACCATGTCGTCCAACGACAAAAACACCTCCGAACTCGACACCATCCCCCACGAACGCAAAGAACCCCGACCCGACTTCACGCAACCCCTCCCCCGAAAGAATCTCCCCGCAGACCTCCAAAAAACCCTCGACAACGAAGACCGCTTCTGGGATGTCCTCACCACAGGCCAAGGCAGCGAGTCCACCGACTCCAGCGTCCGCTATGCCGCCTACGCCTCCCGCCTCCGAACCATAATGCTCTCCGCCCACCGCTACGTCGCCTACACGTCAGATATCGGGGAGTCGTTCCGCCCCGTCGCGCATCCGAATCTCGTCCGCGCGGCGTATGGCATTTCGTGGGCGTATTTGATCGGGGATGTGAGCTATGAGGGGTATAAAGCACGGATACGGAATCAGAGGATCATGAACCCGCAGACGGACGAGGATAAGGCGGAGGCGGAAGCGCATCCTGGTCGGACGGTGCCTGCGATTGAGGATTATAGGACTGTCATGGCGCAAAGAGCGATCTTCCAGGGTCTTGCGAGTATGGGACTGCCGGCTTTTACGATTCATAGCATTGTGCGGTATTCGGGACGGGCGATGAAGAATGTCAAAAACGTTAAGATCAGGACATGGGGACCTATCGGCTTGGGTCTGGCGGCTGTGCCTGCGCTGCCGTATATGTTCGATCATCCAGTTGAATACGCGACTGAGTGGGGTTTTCACCGGGCTTTTGAGGCTGTGGGAGGCCCGAAGGCTGTGGGGAAGGATGAGCAGGGAAGAGGAGCGGATGTGAAGCACAGGCATGCGGAGAGGGAATCGAAGAAGGAGCTGTAGTGTGGTTCTCTTCAGAGGTCTCTCTTCTCTGGTTCTGTGTTTATGGGAAAGCGTGGCGAATGGTGTTCTTCTCAGCTCAAATGCATATTGGCTCGATATAAACTGTAAATATGATCGAAATCTCAGCAACAGTAGCTTTGGAAAGTATGGGAAGATCTCTTTAATTGGCAGTGTAGACCAGAGCCAGGCGGAAATGGAGCAGAAGCGCTGCCACAGATCGATTCAGGCTACTTGTTACCCTTCGGCACCAATGCTCCCTGCACAACAAGTCAGCCAAGAGTACACCACATCAACACCCTCAGGACGGGGAGAAGAGGGAGAACTCACCTTCTGCACAGCCTCAGCATTAATCCTCATCCTCCTCGTCGCCTCCTCCCCCAACCACCTCGGCTGCTCCTTATAAATCCCATCCTCAACCTCCCACGCATCACCTCCCTCAATATAATACGCCTTCCCATGAATCTCCTCCGTCGCCAACAGCCCCACCACAATCTTCGCCACGCTCTCCGCCGTCTGCCAATACAAGTTGTTGTCTTTGAACGCGCCTATCACGGCGTCCGCGAGGGGAGTGTCTGTCACGCCGGGACAGACGGCATTCACGCGAAGCCCGTCTCGTTCGAAGAGAGTTTTCCTGGAGGAGCGGAGGAGGCCTTGGATGCCGTGTTTGGAGGCTTGGTATGTGAAGAGGCCGGGGCTTTCGCGCCAGGCGTTGACGGAGGAGAGGAGAAGAAGGGACTTGTCCTCCGCGCCTTTCTTGAGATCTGTGCGCAGGAAGACGGCCGCGATGCGCGAGAAGTAGACCGAGCCGAGGAGATTCACGTCCAAAGTCTTGGTATTAGCCGGTTCCTGGCCTACAGTCTCAATGGTAAGTTTCGGGTCGTAGAGGTTTCCCGATTCGAAGATCCCCGCGCAGGAGATGGCGTGGTCGATGCGGCCGTGTTTGTCGTGGGCTTTCTTGAAGAGGCTGTAGATGTCGTTGTATTTGGTCACGTCGCATTGCACGAAGCTGGAGGATGGGACTTCCTTTGTGAGGTCTTCGGCGGCGGAGGCGTTGATGTCGCCGAAGTGGATGTGGGCGCCTTGTTGGCCTAGGATCCGGACTGTAGCTGCGCCTATGCCGGTTGATCCACCTGGGACGATTAGCTGGAGTCTTGTTGGGTGTTTATGAATTTGGGGTTACCTGTGACGACAATGACCTTGTTCTTGAGGTTGGTGAAGAGCTTCTCGACGGGTTTGAATTGAGCCATATTGTTCTAACGAAGGGTTGTTGTTGAGTGTAGGTTGGCAGTAGCAGTGTTCAAGTAATAGCTTCGTCTCAGCTCCGGAAACTTTTGTCTAGGGCTTGCAGTATGATATACTCGTCCTGCGGTCTTATAGACCCGCCTTCCTTGGACCGATCGCGGAAACCGACCCCGCTCGTAATCTGTGTAGCTCTCACAGGCTGTCAGACCTCAACAAAGCGTAGATACGTTCGGACCGTCTTCGCTATTGCATGAATGCATTCGTGAAGTCTGAGCATCTCACCCGCATCTAAGCGTCGTTTGAGTCCACAAGCTTCATGTTTGTCAGGGTGGAAGCAAAGGAAGGGCTTCTATTGATGGCGAATTACGCGAGTTCAATGCACCACGAAGCGTTCGGATTCCATTGCCGATGCGGCCCTGAGCATGGGGTACGTGTCTTGGGGTTCAATTCCGCTTGTTCTCGGTCGTTATATGTGACCAGGAAGATGCGTGTACGGTCCGGGAAGTCGCCTTTGGGAATCTCGCAGCAGCTGTCGTCGGGAAGGGCGAGTGTTGAGCAATTCCAGACGCCCTGTATAGGATGAATAGAACCGCATAGAGCCGATTTCTGATGTATATGCGTTGAGAAGAGCGCGTAGAAAGAAGGAGGTGGTGTCGTCGATTGCTTATCTCAAAGATTCAGACCCTTTGAAGCTAGTCCCACTTTGATAGCAGTATCTCAGGCCAACCACTTCACGTCCTCCTGCAACGCCAGACTCGATACCTTCAGATCATATCAGCATCATCACTATGCCGGCCCGGCCATTCCCTTTCCCACTTTCAATAGGCACAGACATATGTCGTACCGCAAGAATCCACAAACTCATCAGCAGACCCGCGGTTGAAGGACAAAAACAATCACCTCTCCTGCATTTCATGAACAGATTCCTTACGTTCCGAGAGCAAAATGACTTTTGGAAGAAATTCGGCACGATCCCAAATGTGGCCGACAAAAAATTTGATGCCATTACGATGCATCTCGCTGGGAGGTAGTTCTTCTCTGTTTAATGATATTCCTGCACAGGGCTAATTGTTTTTCTCTCAAAGATGGGCGGCGAAAGAAGCCGTCATTAAAGCCGTTGGATATCGACAAGTAAAGTTGATGGATGTCGAGATCCTCCGCTCTCGAGGCCCAAACGGAGTTGGTGGTGTCTTCGCACTCATCCGAGACACACCAGGATCCCCTACACCAACCGAGGAGAGTCGATCGGCGCCCACAGCCGTTGCCATGGAGTCTACTGGAACGATTCGCAAGGTCAAGATCAATCCAAGAATGCAGGACGAACCTTTTCATTCCGAAAAGGAGGAGTCGCTGGAGGAGGCGTATGGAGAGCTGGAAGGACAAATCGCCAAGGTCAGCATCAGTCATGATACTGGATATGCTACTGCGGTGTGTCTTGCGGCTGATCAGCCGATGGAGGGTGATGTTGGTGGAGAGGCTGCTGCGCGGATGCCTTGATGAGAGGCGGGAGCGGTCGTCTAGACTGGGATCGCCACTTCAATACGATAGCCAAAGGCCACGAGCCACATTATCCCGAACCGATTTCCCGGGGCTCTGCCATCAGATCTGCAATAGGCATGCTGGCCATCCTCGACAGGAGTGAGAAGGACTTCTCGAAGGGCAACGAGCCACCAAAACGGGCAATTGATACAGCTGGAAATGGACTCATTATCGACATCTTCGCCTATTCGCATCCGTGAGAGACCGCGTGGGAGGCTTGTCAGGGCTAAAGGCGACGATACTTCACCTGACGAACCCGCATCAGATTGGGTGCACACTGCTAAGACGCCAAGACGCCACTCAACTGACAACAAGCTATCAATCTCAATTGCATCATCTCGATCCGATCCTCAGGCTACAACCCAATGATCGGTCAACATCTAAGCCTCAACACCACATCTTATCACCATCACACAGTAAGTGCAGCAAACGCTGATCGACTGACTCTCCCGTGATCTAATAATCGTCTTGCCATAGATCCGACTTCAAGATAGAGTGACTTATCTATCGAGTTGCACGCTGGCTGCACTTCGACTGAAATTACTTGGCTTTCCCTTCACATGGTAAGGTTTCCCACCGAACATATGACTTTCCTCACTACTTAAAGCGCTCCTTTCATGTGTCAAGGGGTAGCTCTTGTCGTTTCTCTCCACTCACCTCGAACGCTCAGACATCTACACCGGTAACGGGGATCAACCTCTTCAATTCTCACCTACCGACTCACAAACGATTCGCTCCGTGGCTATATTGCATCTCCGTTTTTCCGATAGCGCAGTCGACCGCTGGTCTCGACCCTATTGTCAAAGAAAACAACATCTGGGTCACTATACCCGTCCTGGCAGGAGATGGTCTCCCAACAAAAGCACAGAACTGGCCCACGCGGCGGCAGCAGGATACCCGTCAGTGAAGTATCGGACTCGGAGGACGACAGCGATGAAGACGTGGCTGCACCAGCCAACACAACGATGAGTCCCAAAAAGACAGACCTCATCAGAAGCCGAGCACAAGAATCAAATCTTCCTAATTACAAACTGAGACATCCTGAGGGATCAGTACTGGCACAATTGCCAAATCGAATATCGAAGCCATTCAGTTCTTCGCAAGGGTCACCTCGCTCGAAGCGCTATCCCACCGACACACCAAGCGGTGACCGATTAGAATCTGAAACTTCTGTTTCGAAGGGCGACAACGATCCTAATAGGGATAATGAATCCGATGTCGAGGACGATTCGGAGAAGGAGGGTGATTCTGACAGCCACGAAGAGTCTAGGGGATCCAAAGAATTGGCCAAATCGCAAGCCAAGGCTGCTGCGTTCCAGGCCCCTTTGAGGGAACTGAATCCGTCAGTCTGGCGTCGGGAGCTAGAGTCGAGGTCCACCCGTCCTGTTACACCTTCATCTGCCCACTGTTCCCAGTCATCGCAAGGCTCCGATGGCTTTTCGAAGCAACGATCATCTCAATATCCGTGTGCTTCACAGCCAGTTGCGTCAGAGAGCGGAGCCAGTTCGAAATCCGACGACAACGTTCAACCAGTCGAGACTCTTGCTAGGAGGAAGAGACGGCTCTCAGCGTCCCCTGCTCAAGACTCAAAGCCAAGCCCTCGCAGGTTCAAATACAGACCAGTGGAATCACCACCTAAGGAGACGGCATTCGCGTCTCTGTTTCGACAATCCCAATCCTCACAATCCTCCCAGCCATCACAGGAGACTAGAAAGCGGCCTTCCAAACCAGTATCCACCACTGGATGCGTATACGTCCTCCACGATGACGATACCGGCCACGTCAAGATTGGCATATCGAGATCCGCCAAGACGAGATACGCTTCTCTGAGGCGAAGATGCCGCAAACCAAATCTCACGCTGGAATGGCACACGGGTGAGTCAATACCCTGGGGTCAACTTCAACGACTAGAGAAGATCGTGCATTGGGATCTAGCCCAATTCAACAGACGCTACAAATGCAATTGTGGCGCGACACATACCGAGTGGTTCGACGTCGAGATTCGAGAGGCGAAGCGAACGGTGGAGATGTGGCTTCGATATCAGCGGATGAGGGTAGACGTAACAACTCAGGACCTTGAGCGCTTGAGGACAGGATTTCCGAAGGAGGAAGGAAATACGTGGCTAGGCGTGCGGACGCTGAACCACGTCAAGCGGTGTGAGTATTGGCATTGGAAACTATTCGGCGAGATGTATGATGAGGCGTTTTGCGAGGAATGAAGACAGAGGAGATATATACTCAGGAGACCGGATTGCATCTGGACCGAAACTGCTGGCGCACCAGACATTCTTCTGGTACCTTTCATCTCCAGAGAGAGTCGATCAACCGAGCGCCCGGCGACCATCATGATGTCCGCATTCTCGAGACTCGAGCAAAGACTTTTTCTACACCACTCCCAAAACTATACAACATGACCACGAGCATCTATTACACCTTCAGAAGAGTGTTAGGCATAGCAACTAGCCCACCCATGCGCTACACAGCAAGCGCTAATGTGTCTATGTGAAACACTCCAGCCACCCCCGTGCCGCACACCCACGCGAAGGGCGACAAAGCCAAAGTGAGGCCGCCCTTCGACAGCATTCGGTCGTGTTATCTTTGGCATCAATGCTCGTGCTTTTCGTCTAGGCTCCCGCTGTGCCGTAACACAGCCTGGTTGTCGTGAGGTATAAAGCAGCGGGTAGTCTATGCTCTGGCAATGACTTGATATCCTCATTGCCATTTGCTCGACCAACGTCGCACTTCTCGCACTGTTACCCATGGAGCCCATGACTCCAGAACCGCAGAGGCCATTCTCGATTCCAACGTTTGCCCAGGTCCAATCGGCCTTCCGCAATGACCCAACCATGACCACATTTCCATGCCTGATGCACAACGCACGAGTCGGAGAATGCGTTCTTCTTGGAGCCACCCAAGTCCAAAACGCTTCCTTAATCTTGTGCAGCGACCTTCCCACGACTCTTCGCGATGTCTGGAACGTGATAAACTGCCTCGTCTGCATTCAACATCAGGGCGATAGAATATATACGCACAAGCACCGAGTGAAAGATCACTGGCAGATGGAGTTCCCAAACTTGGATCTCTCCTCGTCGCCAATGCCACGGTCGAGGTACTCGCTGTGTTCAAGTCCTAGGCAGGCGCTTCGGTCAACTCCATTGAGGAGTGCTCGAGCGCAGACATCTTCGCATCGACGAAACGAGGAGGAGCCAGTGACACCGATTCCAGAGCGCCAACAAACCGATGCAGAAGACGTGACCGATAATGATGTCGACATGGATGACGAACCATTCATAGCAACACCGGACAGCACGAGAACCCCAAGCGTTGCTGAAACAGAAGAATCAGACCATTACACTTCCGCTGAAGAAGACCGCACTCCAAGTCCCAGTCCCAACCCACCACCACGCAGAACCTCCTCCCCATTCAGTCCCCAACGAACCTTCACCCCAGGCTCCTCCTCAACCTGGCCCCTCTGGCGCATCCGCCAAGACGTCCGACACCTCCTCATCGAACCCCTCCCCCTCCCCAAAGCCCACGGGATCCTCTACGCCATCGAAAGCCTCCAGCACCACAAAGTCAAAATCGGCTGGACAATGCGCAAGAACCCCAACGAGCGGTTCAAGGAGCTGGAGAAGCAGCACGGAGCACCGCTGGGGAATTCCTGGTATCTTGACGGGATACCGTATGTGCAGCTTCGGCGGCTGGAGGAGTTGGTGCATGCGGATTTGGCGAAGTATCAATGTGATTTCAGGGTGCCGTTTGGGCGCGGTAGTGGCGCGAGGGTACATCGCGAGTGGTTCGACATCGACATGCACACCGCGTCCACGACGATCGACTTCTGGTGGGCGGCGATGCGGCATCTACGGATCAAGCCTGGTAGGGAGCTCGACGAGCGAGTGAGGGGTAGGTTGAATACGCAGGGTGCCATGTTCGAGGTAAAGCAGCAGAACGTCGATGGGCGTTTTGGCGATTACAGGGACCATGAGAAGACGCTAGGGTTATGGAGGGAGCTGCTAAGAGTTCCTCAGCGTCGTGCGAAGACGTGGATGGATCGATGGCGGTTGGTTGTCTTCGCCGCTGTGGCGTGGTTTTGCTGTACTGAATGGATGCCATCTCATGCGGGTTCTTGGGGGAAGAGCACGATGTTACTCTTCGCGATTGCGGTATCGTGGTTGTGAAATCTGGAGGCATTGTGGGACTGCTGGAGTTCTAGGCTTTCTTCTCGAACTATTCATCTCCAGATAGAATATATCAACTGAGCGTCCGGCGACTTTTGTGAAGTTCCCAATTGACGTGACTGAATTGGGACAGCTCTTGAAAGTCTAGCGAAGACCTATTTCCAATTTCGTCGGTTCGCAAACCAACGTACCGCATACACCAAACTCAACAGGACTGGAACTTCGATCAATGGCCCAACTGTGGAGGCCAGAGCCTGGTCGCTGTCGGGTCCGTACGTCGCCACGGCTACGGCAATCGCCAGCTCGAAGTTGTTGCTTGCTGCAGTAAAGCTTTGAGTGGCAGAAAGCTTGTAGCTGAAGCCCAGTTTGTGACATATCCATAGTGTGGCGCCGAAAATTGCCACGAAGTACACAATGAGCGGTGCGGCGACCCTTAATACGGCCACGATCTGGTGCACGACCCGATGTCCCTGGCTGGCGAAGAGCACGACAATGGTGTAGAGGAGGCCGATCAGTGACCAGGGCGCTATCCACCTGAGGAACGTCTTGTCGTACCATTCAGGGGTAGCAATGTAACGCACGGAAAATCTGGTGAGGATAGCCGCCCCGAGAGGGATGCCGAGGAACGCTGCTACGCTCACAGCAACCGTGGAGTAGGAGACTGTTATTGTCGAGGTTGAGCCACTTATGATGTTGATGAAAAGGATGGCCAGCGGCGCGTAAAGCACCATTTGCAGGATGGAGTTGATGGCGACGAGGATTGCGCAGTACTGATTGTCTCCGCCCGCGATACCGGTCCAGATCAACACCATGGCGATGCAGCGGGCAAGCCCCACGAGGATAAGACCTTCACGAAGACCTTCCTCGTCAGGGAGGAAAGCCCATGCGAGAGCAAGCTGCCAAGATCGTCAGTGAGATTGTGTCGTGTAGAACAGGATGCTGTATCTACGTACCATCAGAAGTGGAGCAACAATCCAATTGACTATGATGCTGAACCCAATCTGGATCCATAACTGCTTCTGGCGAAAGACATAGTGCAGCGTCTCGTACTGCACTTTGCAAAGGATCGGATACATCATGACGAGCAGTCCAATAGCTGTGTTGGTTGAATCAGTCAGGAGATAGCTACGATATTGTAGAACGTTCATCAAGGTAACATACCTATTGGGATCGAAACACCCACAAACTTGCCCTTCTGTAGCGCCGGCCCAGTGCTGGGGACAAAGTTGCCGAGCAATATGCCAATGATGATCGCAAGGAGGATCCAGAGCGCCAGGAAGCGATCCAGCCAGGCGAGACTTTTCAATGTGGAAACATTCTCAGCTCGACACTGTCCTCCATCCACTTCTTGCTTTTCTGTATCTCCCATGTTTGCTGGCAAAGATGACTCCAGAGGGTCTTCGCTGCTCGTGACATCAAGGTTCATAGCCATGTTCGATAAATGTTCGATGATCGGGCTGCGTTGGATGAGTGCACTGCGGCGTGACCAGTTTGGAGGTTCGGACGGGTTCGTTGTTTGGTGAGCGCAAGGGGTTACTACGCTTCACTTTTATTACTCTGTTGGAGCGAATAACCAAAAGTACTGTGAGCAATTTCACATCTTTTATGCGTAGGTGACTTCGTTGCTCAACTTCTCCCTAGTAAGGCTGCGATGTCACTGGGCAGCGTTGACTGGCTCGTTAGAAGTGGGCCGCCAAGCCACCAGGGGCAAGACCCCAGCCTGATTGTCAATCGCTGCGCACATTTGTGCACACATCTGCGCCTGTGACCAATGCGTAATACTAGTAAGACGCCAGACCACCGATCAGTGGAACGTCCAATTTGGCTTACCAACCGTAGAAACGTCTAGTCTTTGCCCAGGTCACCCACTCTATTCTTCTCTTGATCATCCCCTGTCCTCTTCCGACATCCAGGTCAACAAGATAAGACATCGGCCTTGCTTGCAGCTTAAATTGCACTCCGCACCTTCTCCAAGTGCTCTCGATTCCACATCAGCATGAACGACCAGAGTTCGCAGCCCAATAAAACACGAGTCTCCTCGGCCACGACAACCACCGTTCACACTGAGCAGCCATGGCATGCCTCATATCCCGCACCGCGCTCCGAGGCAAAGTCTATTACTCGCCATGAACTGCTGCGGCTCCTGAAATCTGATGCTGCGATGGATCATGACTTTGTCCTAGTCGATTTGCGCCGTACAGACTACGAGGCAAGGCTATTACCCCTGGGTACTACGAACCTGACCAGCTAATTCTCGTCACAGGGCGGTACTATTCAGGGTTCCATCAATCTGCCCGCGCAGAGCCTATGGCCCACAATCTCTTCTCATTACAACATTTGGATCAAGGCAGGCGTACGAAGAGTCATTTGGTATTGCGGTAAGGATATCATTTCGGCCGCCGTGGAGCTCATGATTTCATGCTGATGATGTCCAGGTTCTTCCCGCGGACGTGGTAGGCGTGCTGCTGGCTGGTTCGCGGACTATCTCAACGAGCGGGGGGAATCGAGAATGCAGAGCCTGGTACTAAGCGAGGGCATCAAAGCTTGGGCTGCTGAAAAGGGGGAGTTTGTGCGCTATATGCAGGAGTACGATGAGTCAAAGTGGTCGTAGGTAGCCATCGTGCAGACCAGCATCGAGTGTCAAACACCCCAGTGTTCAAATGTTATGAGTGGCCATTGGCATATCCGTTGAGGAGTACTCAACGCGACCTTTTTTCCGTACACATTCGATCCATGCCCTGTGTGTCTGGCATATGCATGGTCTCTAGTTGGGATTCCCAATCCGAACTCTTTTCTCTGCGCGCTTGACACGGTCAAGCCACATCATGATGCCGCCAGCAACCAGATACGTCAGCCCAACCCAGACTTGGGAATATAGATACGGTCGCTCGGCACTTGGGCGCCGGATCTGTATCGCGATGACCTCAGAGACTACTGGTTGCCAGCTCGGGATGTCGTGAAATGGGAGTTACTAGCTCACAGGTAGTTGGTAGTATGATGGTGATCCACGACAGTGAGAGTAAGGATTGCAAGTTCTTGAGACCGGCGACTTCCACACAAAGCGGTCCGATGGTCTATATCAGCATTTCTTAGCATCACAATCCTGCGTATGCTGATGGGGAATGTACCGAGAAATTTGATCCGAACGTACCATCCAAAAGACGCCGAGCACGGCGCCAGCGAGCACGGCGAAGACTGCCAAGGGTGCGAACGACTGCGCAGGTATCCAGATTGCAAAGGTAAACAGAGAGCAGATCAAAGTTAGCGCGCCTGCGACATTCAGGCGACTCGATTTGTCGCTTAGGATACCGATTGCAGGACGACCGATAGCAGTGCCAACGTTGAGGAGACCGATGGTATCAGTAGCTTGTTGAGACGACAGTCCTATGGACAGGGCGAAATCGGATAGCGAGAACAATAGTGCGATGTAGCCGAGCATGCTGAAAAAGGCCCACGCCAGCAGCAACTGGACGTCATGACGTGCAAGGAGGGTGGTGTCGAAAGCCAGCTGAGGTGGCCGGATGTATTTGTTGCGGTCGCGAACGATGGCTGTGGCAATGGCGGCCAGGGTGAAAGTGATGATACCAGTGATGCAGAGCGCCCATCGGAGTCCCAATGCGTCAATGATGGCGCCAGTGGACCAGGCAAACAGCGCGCCACCAAAGCCAGAGCCAGCGCTGCTGATGCCGTTGGCTAGGCTGCGGCGCGCTTCGAACCACTGTGACAGGATGGGCAAGCTGGGTATGTAGATGAAGCCGACCCCTAGGCCGACGAGTACGCCTTGTGTCAGAAACAGCTGCCAGATACGGGTCGCAAAGCCGGCAGTGATGTAGCCAGTAGTTTGCAGAGCGATGCCGGTAGACATAGTAACATGTTTACCAAGCCGTCGAGTGAGCACGGTGACCAAAGGCGCGGTCAGCAGGGCGAAGGCAAAGTTGAAGCCACCGATGAGGGCAAAATCGAGCGGCGAAGCCTCAGGGAAGCGGTTGGTTGTCATGTAAAAGGACAAGAACACGCCGTACGACTGCTTGCTGCGTCGGAGCGGTACAACACCTGTCAAATATGGCGTCAATGCCGTCGCCGTCCTCACTGCTACAGCGCCCCAGGTCGAAAAATTGATCATGAAGCAGGCGGCCATGCAGAGCCAACCATAGCCGCCATCTGGTGGTGACTCCCCGGGGAAGGAGTGGAGGGAGGCGGATGGCATTTGGTAAAGTCGGGTGAAGCTAGCAGAAGAGGTCGACAGAGAAAACATTGCCGCCTCGGTGAGGTCGTCGTCTGAAATAATGGCGGTAGTCAAGGCTATGTCACTCGAGAAATGTGATTGGTTGGACCATTCGACCGAAACAGCGCGTGGCAGCATGCCGCCAGAGCATCAACCCACTAATCCAGCAGACTTGGTCGACGTCGACGGGGACGATCGTCCACTCATGGCGACGCTGGACAGCACAAGGCGATCAAGCACCATCGAGGCTGAGGGACCTGAGCATGGCGATCTCGCCGAAGATGGTTACCACTTGGGTGGCGATATCCACCCCCCTGCCCCGGTGATACTGTTCCTGATTGCGGTATCGTGGTTGAGAGTATGTGTGTGAGCTCTAGATCCTCTTATTAGCACAACTTCTATCATGCTATCATGATATATTCCACGACGTGGTCATCTAGTCCGTGTAGTGTCTTTCACGTATTACAGCTCATCCATGAGCAGGTGCAAGTATTGCAACCATTCTCCACAAGATGTCTCCGATCCATTCCATCCGCACACATCTAGTCCTTGTTGTTCCCCACATGCTCTTCGGATTGATGCTCCTCATCCTTCCTATCATGTTGATGCGCGAACTTCTTCTCATCCTTGACGTTATGGACGCCTCCGGCGACATAGTTCTCCGTGCTCTTGTCGTTGTTTGTGGTAAAGAAGGACAGAATGATTGCAATCGAGGTAAAGGCGCAGGTTACGAGGAACACGGTCTGCGCAGCTTGCTGAAAGGCGACTCGATATGGTTCTTGGACTGCTGCTTGGATGTCCGGGTTGATACCGGGAACTGCGTCGTACTGGCCTTTACCTTGCAGAGCCATGGACAATGCAGGCAGGGAACCTTCGGGTAGTCCCATTCGCAGAGCGACTGGAGCGACTTCGTTGCCAAACGTAGTCGTAAGGCGGTTCGCCAGTGTTGCTGTAAAGATTGCGACTGCAATTGCCGATGTAAAGTTTCTGACAGATCCACAAAGACCTCCCCCTTGTCCTATTTCCTCTTGTGAGCGGAGTGGGAATGTCGAGGTTGTGGTGGCGACCGACTCCACGAGGCCAATAGCGAAGGATCCGGGTATAACCAGGCCGAGAGTCAGGCTCTTATTCGCAAGATCCGTAGCACAGGCTGTCAAGAGAGCACAGGCGATAATCGACGAACCGATCAAGCACCATCTGGGACCTAGAAACCATTCGAAGACTCCATGGACTGATTGGGCGAAGACGAATGCCATGTTGATGAGGCCAGCGAGCGTTCCAACGTCTGTTTACGAAGAAGGGTGTTAGCAATCATTCATGTACGGCTCGGGTAGAACTACTATCGCACGTACCATACTCGGAGATTTGTCCCCGCCCACGGTAAATCGTAGTGACGACTTGTGGGAAGACAATAGCACCACCGTAGTAGACGCAAGCTCCCAGGCCGTTTTTCCATGCAGCGGACATGAATCGGATGTTCTTGAAAAGATGGAGCGGCAGATATGGCTCTTTCCCGCGCTTCGAGAGGAAGATCTAATAGGCAGGTAGTATGCCAAAAAGGGTTACTCCACCAACAACCATTGTCGCGATAACGTTGGGCGAGTCCCACGGGTAGCTATGTGAACTGTTAGCATGCAGATCATAGACAGTACCCTCTTCTCGCTGCTCAAAGCGGAGTATTCCCATCATTTGCAAGTTGCCATGCAGCTTGAGCTGCAACGGAGCGTATGTGTGCTTCTCTGCACGGAGAGTTGGCGGTCTCATACGTTCCACCTTGCTCGGCTCGACGAGGGAACTATGCTGGAAACTTACAGAACACCTCCCCAGTTCAGGCCGAAGATCAAGATACACAGTCCTCCAGAGTACAGGTTAAGACCGATCCAATCAAAATTGAGGAAGAGGTCTCTCGCGGCCTTTTGGCGATGCAGCATACCAAAGGTCGGTAGATCTACAGGAAAAAGCCCCGAGTCAGCGACATGGCGACGCGTTTAGAGACGTCTATGACTTACGGTAGAACAGGTACCATGCGATCGCACTGGTAGCGTTGACTGCGATGAGCAGGTAAAAGCTATAGCCCGTGTAAGCAAAGGACGAAACCGACGTTGCGATGTGGAAGCCCACCAGTTGCGCCATCCGCCAGGGTATGTCTGGAAGCTGTAGGCCACTCTGGCTGCTAGAGGACTGGTGGGAGTCGTCATCAGGTAGCAGTACGAGTTGGCGAAGTAGCGATATTTCATGGGAACGAGCTCTGCTACCACCCAGAACTAGGTTGTTGTCAGCATTGACCGGGCTTCGCATAACTTTTGAAGATTTACAAATGATTGCTGAAAGGCGACTGCGATGCCGATGAGGACTTCCGCCCCAATAAGTGTGTTCACGTTCTTCGCCGTAGCACCCACGATCGAACCAATGAGCGCCAGGATAGAGCCAATGATGAAGAACCTGCACGAGGAATTATTATCACAGCAGAGGGAATGTAGTCTCTTGACTCTAGTCTTACCAACGCCGTCCGAAGATATCAGACAGCTGCCCAACCATCAAGAAGAATATAGCTCCTCCAGCCAAGTTAACTAGCGGTACCCAATTGATATTCGGATCAGGGCCGATGTCTTCGTTGATTTGCGACAAGATAGGGGCAATGAGACCGTAGCCTGTTGACTGCGTCAGCGCGGCTTGCCAGAGGGAAAAGTGACGGAGATGCTGCAGTACATACCTCCAATGCCTCCCATGAACGCCATGCCGACAGCGAAAAGAGTCCCAATGTAATTCACCGACAGCCAGTAGCTCCTGTCAAACTTATCTGCATTTCGACCCCTGGCTTCATCTGCTCTGTCGTCGTCGGCGCGATGGTCTGTATAAGACTCGACGCCCGTGACGGCTGGCATGTGTTCGACATGGTCGTAGTCTTGGCTCGTATGGCTGGCCTTCTCCATGGCGGGCAGATATGAATGAGCAATGCCAGACAAGGCTAGAAGTAGCAGGAGAATGAAGGAGAAGATGTCCAAATGCGGACGCACGGTATTTGTGGCAGACGTTACCATTCAATGTCCATGATCGTCCTGCTTGCTTTCGCTGGACCGCTGCTCCATTGCATCACGAGCCTCTCGCATCGTGTCTGGAGTCTAATGAGCAGTACCTCGTCACGAGGCCATAGAGGTTCAAAGGCAATGATCTTCTCGCTTGAGCGCCAGCGATATGACCATTGGAGTGGATGGCGCGAACGCGACTTCCTAATCACGAATAGCGTACGGTCTCCTGCACGATGACAACAATGGCGCCCTGTTGAAATCCCTCACCTGGACCATAGCCAACCCCATGGGGTTGATAGATCGGCCCCTTGCACCCCGCAAGATGTGCATCCTTGGCGTGTCTATCTTAACCGCTCTCGTCATATTGCGCTCGGGTATGGACCAGTCATTCTCAAGAGCAACTTGAAACTCCAGGTCTTGTGTTTGAAATGGTGCGTATGATTGTGGTCTGTGTTACGGATCGAGGTTGAGGCGCGCAGCTTGGCGCAACCTCAGGCACCGGGACCAGCGCTCAATCCTTCGAGCACACATGCGCGCAGCGGGCGCACCTCGCGACCTCAGCGACCAGCGCGCTTTGCGCTTATAACGCTCTTTGCGCCTTACCTTCGTATATAGGGAACGACATTGTGCTTATTATAATAGCGTTTAACTTACTATTTAATCTTACTGTTTAGTTTATAAAAATACTAAAACCTCTACTTTAAGATTATTTTAGTAGTCTATTAACTCTCTCCTTTTAACGAGCTCTAACTAAGAACTTAAGCTTAGTACCTATACTAAGTAAAATTCTAGAGTTAACGAACCGATCCTAATAGCTTTAAACGCCCTCTATAATAGGAGATTAATCTATACTAAAAAGAATACCCGTTTCCTCTAAAGTAGGAAAATCTCGATAACTAACTTATAATATCTCTACTAGAAATTATAGTATTAGTAATATAAAGCTTAGTAAGCCTAACTTCTACTATAGTAACTACAATAAGTTTACTTTTTAGATAAAGTAGATAGATATCTTCTTTTTCTTCGATAAAACTATAAAATAAAGTTAACTCTAAAACTAGGTATAAGTAGAACTTTTTCTAAAATAATCTATTTTCTTTTTTTCTACCTATAACTACTTTTCCTATATATATTACTTTAAAGTACTTACTACCTACTTTTATCTAGGTTTTTACTTTTAACTAGGAGAGGTACTTAAATAAATATAGTTAGTTAGTTATTTAGGATAAAGTATAAGAATTAAGTATCTATTCTAAAAATAGATACTTACTTTTTACTTTAATAGTTAAGTATATAACTTTATTAATATTATCTCTCTCTAAAGGAGTATTTTCTTATAATTTTAATAAGCTTACTAGAGAATTCTCTTTTATAGTAAATCCTTTCTTAAAAGCTTTCTTTTTCTTTACTTAGACTTTTAATTTTTAGACTTTTTTTATAAGTATTTTTACTATCCTCTTTAGTTAGTTTTTATCTAGTAAAGTTCCTTTTTTCTAAATAGAGGAGGTTAGAGATTTCTTTCTAGATTATTTAGTTTTAATAGCCCTTTTAGCTCTATTAAGATATAGGTAGTCTTTAATACTATAGTTCCTCTTATATAGGAAGTATATATACTAAGTTTCTTTCTACTTACCTATATATATTATAGTACCTTAATCTTTTACTAATCTTACTTTATATAACTCTAAAAGTATAAGACCCTAATTATATATTAAAGATAGCTAAGCTAGAATTATATCTTTTATACTTTTATATTAGCTTAGAAGAGTAGTAAGTAAATACTTCTACTTTCTCTCTAGCTCCTTATAGTAGGCTTTTTAGGGATTAACTTTAGTAATTTTTCTCGTAAAATTACTAAAGTATACCTATACTTTTCTAATTATCTACTTTTCTATTATCTTAAATATAATTAGTTCCTCTACTACTACTATAGCGTAGGTAGTATAAACCTTACTATATTTAGCCTTTATTTTTATCTAGATATCTATAGCTTTCTTTTCTTTAAAGATCTTATTCTAGTTTTTTTTAGAAAGATATATAAATAGCTTATACCTAGCTATTATATTTACTTTCCTCTACTCTAGGCTATAACTTAAATATCTAATATCTCCTAGAGTAGGTATAATATTCTCTAAGATCTATAGAGTTAGGATATCTAATATAACCTAAAATATATTTTTCTTTTTAAAGTTATTTTCTTAAAGACTAAACTATATTCTCTAGTTCTCTCTTAATAGAATTAACTTAGTAAGTAGTTTAGTATATAGCTACTAAAGTTTATACTTAACTTACTATCTAGGAAGCTAGTAATTAAAATAAGAATATATAGAGGTATCCTATTTATTAAAAAGATTAATTAGGCTTTTATAGAGAAAGCCTTATTAGCTTTAATATAACCTAATTAGGAAAATATTTAAAATACTTTTATATTAATATTATAGGGGGTTATAGTAATATATAGAACTCTAATTAACCTAGTACTAGGTTAAGCGTAGAATAAACTTCTACTTTCTCTATCCTCGTATACGGCGAGTATAAAATACGTACTAGGGAATTACGTATACT